CTACTGATAACCGGCGCTGAGTCAGCGTTGAACACAGTAACCGGTTACATAGTGAAAAACTCGTCCGACGATTATTGACACATCACAAAATGTTAATGTTTTGATGACAAACAGCTGAACGCGCTACTTGCGCGACGATTTTTAACCCTTCGCCTGCAGACCTAAAACAAGATCTACGAATATCGTAGACTGGGTCTGTGAGACCCACGTGATTTTAAGATCGAATATTTTCGCAAAAAATCAATATTTTTTCAATTTCTTTTTTTTGAATCGGAAGTTTGAACGATTCTGCGTCGATGCAAAACAAATTAAAAACAAATTAAAAACAATCTCTAGTAATTTTAAAGATACAAACGTTTAAATAAATTAATTTTTTCTAGAAATGCGTCAATGCGCAATTTTTGAATGGGTTTGAGAGAGATCTACGGACGCGCGGAAGGTTAACACAGAGAGACGCGGAATTAATTACACATGTATGTAAAATTATTACAGATAAAAAGGTATTACACGGGCTCTCTTTGTTAAAGCAGCTCTGCTTATTTAAATTACCTGCAGTCGAAATCACCGCGTCGTATCGATGACGTTTCGGTACACGAAACCGAACGAATGCTCGGTGACGTAAAAGACGCGATCGCGCCGTTGCGTTTCATTATCGCATAATTGAGGCCGGTCATTTAACAAGTAATCGTCAATATTTTCAAATATTCGACGCGACCCTGACAACATTACAAGAACGTTACTTTATTTTGTAGAGTCGCGCCGAGTTTTTTGCTCGTCTTTTTTTTTTTTTTTGCTCTTTTCTTCTCTCCTCTTTGAGAATTCGTGGCGACACCGATCTCGACCGAATCTGCGATTCGTCGCGCGTATCGCTCGCGCGCATTTTATTTTCCTCTGCGATATCTCTTGCAAGAAACAGATGCGACTTGTTGCGTTCTATCGGGGTGCTTAACATTCCTCTCCCTCCGCGTGATTTTCGCGCGGAATACGCGAATGGCGGAAAAACCACTAATATATGTATATACATAATGTACACATACGTTCGAGAATAGACGAGCGTAATTCGAAATAGAACGCGTTTACGTAAGGGAGTGGCCGATCGGTTGTGAGCGCCGCTTAATTGTGATGCGCGCCGTGATACGGGCATGGCACGGTTCGTCACGCGTTTGCATGGATTACATCGACGACAAGCGAATCTACAAGCACCCTCGATACGTGCCATCTGAGAGCCGTTAATGAAACTGCGAGCACGAACGTAATTACACGGCGAAGTCGTTAATCTATCTCACGAGCGAAGAGAAAAAAATGCTCGTACGGACGAGAGATCGATGAGTTAGATCGGGTTTTAGTTGTGGTATTTGAGTCGTTAAACTTGGCGGAGCGTCTGTGACGACGACGAACTGTCGAAGCAACCTGGTTTTGACGTTGTTCGCAAGGACGTTGTCCACATAAAGAGAGACTCGGTTTTTAATAAAAAAAAAAAATCCAATTGATGTTGTCTCTGATTCAAAGACGCGCAAAACAAATGGAACTTTTTTTGTTTCTCATTTTTCGCAAACGCACTTTCACACTTTCGAGACAACAAAACATTCCTCGTCTTTCCGAATCGCTTCTAATCGTCGAAAAGACGACGCTTGTTGTAAACTTGAAGAAATGCAAACGAACGATCCGCTCGCGAGCAATTAAAATACTTTTATATTTAAATTATGTGCCATTAAGTGGCGATTATATAAACATGTATATATAAAAGGTTTTTTTTTTCTGATTCGGGAACTCTCTAGGATGTTTTAACACTTTTGTTCGGAAGAACAAGATACGGCAATATGTCCAAGGCGAGATTGCCAGTGTCCTTGTGGCGAATGTTTACAAGTTTACACGCATTCTCGACAATTGTGTTGCTTGCACAATGCACGACACGGTTTCTTATTGTCGGAGATATTCCACGCGACGACGATAATTACGGCACCGTCGATCTCTCGATTCGAGAACGATATAATACGCATATAATGACGAAGGTGAGAATAATTAAAAATCTCACGGAACCAGATAAAACGCCTGCTTTTATCACCCGGGTGTCTCACGATGATTTTTAATTACCACAACAACGCGCTTTTTTTTTTTTTTTATTCTGCCGACACACAACGGTTTAAAAAACCTCGTATCTGGTGTCAATAAAAGAAAGATATAAAAAGACGTTATTTAATTCTCACAGATGACGTAACGCGTTTACGGCAGAAATAATTGGAGGCATCGGGAAGTACACTGAAATACAACAAAAAAAAAAAAACAAACGCGATATTTTTTTCTGTTATTAAATTATTTTATGGCATCCTCTCCGGCGCAGACCACTTATCTCGACGACCAACCAAGAGCAATCTGCGCGGCAAAACGCGCGGCGGTTTTTCGTCACTGCGCGCGTCTCTGTCTCCGCCAGACACGGCGCACATCGTGTACGCGGAAAAAAAAAAACATCTAAACGTAATAAAACGTGTTTTCACGGGGAAATATGTCAAGGTAATTAGACGTTTCATCAGACGTCGCCGTCCTAGGAGCGCGCGGCGGTAATCTCGACGATTGGATAATCGCCGCGCGCGGTCGTCCATTATTTTATTTCTCTATACTCCGTGATGCGAGATCCGTATCTTCCTCGTCGGAGCGCGGATTGTTTAACACCACGTTCTCGTAACGCGCGACTAAAAGAGATTATTTTGTTGTTCGCCTCACAAATTTATGAACGCATTTATACATACGTGGACATCGTCTCTTTTCTGAAATCCCGGACATTTCAACGTAACGATTTTCTTGTCTGATATTAACTTAACGATTTATTTATCGACGCATAATGTTCGAGACCGAAACTGCGTGTACCGAACGTGTATATTACACGGTTCTAACCGATCTAAACCGGCTTTCACCGGCGACGAATCGCCTTAATTCTACTGGTTTCTGATGTTAGGTCGGCCAATGCATTTTCACGATACGGATATTCGTTCCGGGAGATTTAAATGCGAGATAAAATCGTCGGTTCCGTTGCTCGCGCGCGCGCTGTTATCTTCTGATCCTACACGACACAGAGATATAAAAATTCCTGGGTAAACGTGTGAGAAGAGACGCGGCTGTGAAATTACGTCTTCGGATCTCTGAAAACAAATCCTTATTAAAAATAGAAAAGGAGAGAAGGAGAAAGAGAGAGAGAGAGAGAAAGAGAGAGAAAAAGAAACTCCAGAGAAAGTTAATCCGCAGATTTTGGAGAAATCGAGTAGCGAATAAATGTAAGGAATATTTTTCCGCCCACCTACTTCATTTGTTACATAATTTATTTTTATTTTTATCTATTTCACCTTTTTATTTTATCACTTCGTATCTTCTACGACAATCGTTGATACGATTTTCTCGTATGTGCTCGTAAAAACACGCGTCGCGAAACAGAAGCGCGGAAAAGAAATCGTGTCATGTCGCGTCGATTACTTTGACGTGCGGTTGTAACAAAGCGTGTCTATCCTGACGTCGCATAATTTTTATTACCGGTAACGCAACACACAGAACGGGCGCGCAAACACAGTTTTCGCCACGCTCGCGGCTCAGATAAGTCTACCAGCATACGCAGCACAATTTCAATGTGAGGTTGCTCGTCGCGTGATCAACGGAAAATATTTCGCGACACACAAAAGAAGAAACAATTTCGATCGTTTTGCGCAAAAAAAAAAAAAAAATTGTTTTGTCGGTTACAAAATGAATTTACGTCTGAACGCGCAACAATCCAGGGAGGGAGGATTGTTTCTTTGCGTAATGTATACGATTTTGATTAGTCGCAACTTTTGTCGAAACACGTTGAAATAACGTTCGCGAGCGCGCTGCGATTTTTCTTGATCGAGCAAATTGATCGATCTCGACGCGAAGATTATCGCCGCCGCCGGACGCACATGTGGGCGATTGCCTTTTATCGCGCGGCAGATATACGCCGATTGTTCGAGAGAATCGCACTCAATAAAAAGAACCGTCGAGCACGTACCTACATACGAGCGAAGTCAAGTCCACCGTCTATTTTCTCAGCCGTGATTCTTGAATTTTTTTTTTCATTCCAGCATATATACGCGGCATATTTCGCGTTTCTCGTCGTAATCGATATCTTTTTACGTCGATCTTCGCAACGTAAAAGAAAAATATGGAATATATAAAAAACAAAAAAACAAAAACAAAACGATAAATAAGATAAAAACTGAACACAAATCGAGAAGATATCCGCGTAATGCGTTTATAATTACACGCGCTCTTTCTCGATTGTAAAAGATCCTCGCACAATCTTTCGTAATTAGCATGCGTGTGCGCGGCGGCTGATTAAAATATTTTTTTCGTATCCACTTTCGCGTACGAGGCGCCACATTTGCTTCGAAGATTATGCAGCCTTGCCATTTTCTTCCTCCGTCCTCTCTCTCTCTCTGTTTATATCCGAAAGGTTGGCCGTTTGTCGTAATTTATTCTGCGATCTGCAGATTCTCGTTTGCGCAGCAATGATTCCGAGAAAGTCGCAAACCAACAGAAATAAGTTCTAATAGCATATTGCAATATCATGCACGCTAGTATTTGCCGTGTGTTTTGTGTACATACTTTGTGCTAAGAGTGTTGATTAAATTAGCAAGAAAATACGGTGAGATAAGTAAAAGTCGCATTACTCACGTCATTCAGACATCGCGTCGTTCATACGGTGACTCACTTTGTTTTTTCTAATACATACAATTCACGCAATTGATTAAAAAATTCCATTGAATTATGTTCACGCGAAATAACTCGTTCGCAATTACTTGCTTATTCGCAAAAACCATCTTCTCACTATAACAAAATAGTTACATAGTTTACATTTTTAATTAGCTAACAGTTTGGAGGATTTTAAATTAGAAATGTTTAATTTCTAATTTAATTTTTTTAAAATAAATATTAATAAATAAATAGATATAATATTTTTAATAAGACAGATAAAGTAATTCGGATATCCGTTTGTTTAGGTAGTCGACACGTAAAATGGTGGCATCGCAAAACGACGGCGGCAGAAGTACAGGCGGAGGCGGTGGTGGCGGCGGAGGCGGTGGCGGTGGCGGAGACGACACGGTCTACACGGTGACCGTAAGCGGAGTCGGTTATAGAAACGAAGGTTACAAGGACGATGGCACCGACGGTATACCACCGGAGCCGCAGAAGCCGCCGCAGCTTCCGGCAACGGATGACGACACGCAGTCGAGGAAGTTCAAACTGTCACGCGGCGAGAAATGGCGTATACTGAAGAACATCGGCACGGTTTCGATCGCCTTCATGGTGCAGTTTACCGCGTTTCAGGGCACGGCGAATCTGCAATCGTCGATTAACGCCAGCGACGGTCTCGGCACCGTCTCGCTCTCGGCGATTTATGCCGCCCTCGTGCTCTCGTGCATCTTCGTCCCCACCTTTCTCATCAAGAGGCTTACCGTGAAATGGACGCTCTGCCTGTCGATGCTCTGCTACGCGCCCTACATCGGCTCGCAGTTCTATCCCAAGTTCTACACTCTGGTGCCCGCCGGTGTGCTTCTAGGTCTCGGCGCCGCCCCCATGTGGGCCGCCAAGGCCACGTATCTCACGCAAGTCGGCGGCGTCTACGCCAAGATCACCGACCAGCCGGTCGACGCCATTGTCGTGAGATTCTTCGGCTTCTTCTTTCTGGCGTGGCAAACGGCCGAGCTCTGGGGCAATCTCGTCTCCTCCCTCGGTAAGTCAATAATATATAAAAAATCTTTTTTTTTTTGTATAAATAACGTTTTGGATATTATGCGAAAAAATGAAAATACGATAAGACAAGATCGACGCACACTCGCTAAGAAATTAGTTTTGCATTTATTTACTTCTAGAATTGTTTTGCATTCGCGTCATATATATATATTGGCGTGATCGATAGTTATCGATTATAGCCGTTGGCGCTTCTCTCTTCTGAGAATAAAATTATCTAATACACGCGCTATATATATATATGAAAATTATATATAGAGAAATAATTGACGATTGATGATTCCCACGCGCGATGTTGAAACATTGCGCGTGTGTATACTGTTGTAAAAGTAGCTCTCCTTGTTATTTTATTATGCGCTCGCGCATAATAAAGAGACATTCTATAACATCTCAATAACACGCAATCATCTGGGTAGTCACCGTCTGGTTTTTACGCTCAATTGCCAGCAGCTTACGGTCCGTTAATTACCCGCAAACACAGCCGAGAAGTGTGTGCGCAATTGTATTTGTCAGCTTGCAGTGTATCACGCTCGAGAAAAAAAGAATTTGCAAAAGAAATGTTTTAATTAAAACTAAAGATGAAAAATGCGATAAATATTAATATTTATTTATAACAAATTTATATAAATATTTATTTTTAGTAAATAAATAAATAAACAAATATTATAAATAATATTTATTTATTTATTTATTTATAACCAAGAGAAATTAATATTTTCCAACAAACAAATTTTTTGCGCGCAACTCGGGCGAGGTATCTAAAAGTATCATTTCTCACTGTTCCAAAATTTGTTGCTTTCATTCTTTGATAACATCCAACTTATAACTAGTTCTGATTAAGAATATGAAATATGCGCGAGCGATATTTGCCGATTAGATACCCATAATTATAACTCCGCGCGCCGGAACGCGCCAGTGGAAACGAATGTTTCAGAGTCGGACAGTCGGGCTAAACTCTCGGTATCTCCACTCGACGTGTGTATCCTCCGCGCGTGTATCTTTACGCACCTCTCACGCGTACGAAGAACACGCGGCGCGGTGAGGGACTCTCGTCGAGCGAGCGAGAGAGAAAGAGAGAGAGGCCGCTCGGAGTCGGACAGAGCGCGACTCTCGCACACTCTCTCGCCGGGAAGAAACAAGATTTATCCGGTATAAACTCGCAACGGTCGGTTTCCGTACTGCTGCCTACTACGCGCATTCTCCGATATATACATACAACCGCGTGCGCCTCCAACACAAAGGCAACACGCGGCCGGTATATCTCATTACGTGTTCGCTCTCTTACGCGCGAAAGAAAACACTTCTTCGATCTCCTCACGCGCGATTTGCGATATCACATACATTGGCATCATTATGTAAAACATATTTATTATCACACACACACACATATATATACACATACGTATAAAATACGATTACATACAGATAAAGTCTTGCTTTATTGCGAATAGGTGAAAAAAAAAAAGTTGGCCATTAGCGTCAGGCGCCATTTGTATGTAATGGCGTTCGGCTAAGGTTAAGACTGTCTTGTTGAAGTCCTTGTGGAGGTCGACGTGTGTACGCGGTATAATAGCGATGAATGATCGATAGCAAATCGAAGGCTATACAGATCGTAGATACGCAACCGAATAATTTCTTGAAATTAACGAGATTTCGTTATACGTCAGATGTTTCGATTGATATTTATAGACGTGAGCAAATTTATATATTTTTTTGTCTGACAACACCGGCTCAAAAAATCTACGCGAATCTAAATTTGTATGTATATATTCTAACACCGATCTCTCACATTTGTAACGAGATAAATTTATAACGAGAAATACATTATCGTGTGAAAGGGATCCGGTTTATACTTGACTTGAAGTGTATTTCCTTCACATTTCGAGCGCGTATTTTCCCGCGTGTTTGTAACATAACAGCGAAAACATAAGAAAAAAAACAGATAACGGTTAATCTCGATTAAAAGAATATTATAAACATTTGACGTGTAATTGGCGCTACTCCTCTGGTGAAAGTTCTTCTAATCGCTTCTAGTCTTTGACAGAACGCACAAAACAGAATGGCCAATGTAAATACCAGAGTAAACAATAAGCCTTCCTTGCAATCATTGATTAAAATCTAATATATATAAACACAGAAGAGTTGTCTAAGGACGGCTGTTTGATCGGAAAATTTGACTGCAGATTTGAATCGGGGCGTTTCGGATGCGCGGCTCTTACTTTTTTCGGAATTGTGTTAAAAATCTTGTGTTAAAAAACAATTTGTGTTTTATTCTAATAAAATAATGTTCTTTTGTAATTCTCGCGTATTAAAACTGCAAAAGAGTTACGCACCAGACGTAATAATATTATTATAATTGGGTCATTAAATATAAAACTCGACACAAATATAAATACATATACATTTTTTTGTCAAGTTTTTTTTTTATATTTAATAATTCAATATACAGGAAGAGCGTTCGCGTGCGAGTTAGCAAATAGCGCGATTCCAGATCGGACGCGGCGATAGACGACGATGAAAGTCGCGCACGTGTCAGTAGTTCCGGTCAATGATTTAACCGGCGCGAACTTGTCGGGCGGTTGTTACTTTTTCGCGCGGTAAATATTGACGTGCGTGCGAAGACAAAAAGTATCACGCGTTTCGCCGTGCGACGCGCACTCGTTTCATCACATTTTGTTGCACAAATCGGATCACATACATCGATAATGTTTATATATGTTTGCGACATTAAAACGCGCTCTTTCATTAGCTGTGCACATGTGCGCGAACTGAAACGTTTACACAGTTGTATCGTGAGTGTAATTTCTTTCTCACTTTGCTCGTGAATATTTCTCCAGTCTTCGATGCGGTTTAATAATTTCCACTTGATAATGCGCGAGTTAAAAATGTTTTTTTCCATTTACATAGCACGCGCGCATCTGATTTAAACGCGACGATAAGGTGGTAGAGTTCGCAACAAATAAATAATTTCTGAATAAATGAATATTTCTCTTCTGCGAATCTAGATCTGAAAATATCCCGTGACAAAGAGGTGTCACAATATATAACGGCAAATATATAACGGCATTTTCTCCGACTCTCGATTCTTGCGCGCAATATCGACGCGTGTTTTTCTTTAGCGTTGCGTTAATGCAATCGAAACGCGTGTTAGTCCGAATGAATCTTTTTACTGCGCGCGCGCGCGCGCGCGTCTCTAAATCGGACAGATAAAATCCCATAGATATTTACGTCCGACAAAGGTCTTTCCCGACTTCACGCGTCGCGAATAAAAACGCGACGATTGCGTGATCAATGATTCCCACTTTGTATCGAGAGATACAAACTGCAACCGTGACCTCAATGTTCGGCATTACCTCCGCGGGACGATCCGATACGCATAATCGATTTTTTGACCATGGAAAGCCGAACGCGCTAACGCGCACATAAATTGCGCTAGTCCGCGGAACGCGATTAGGGAGGAATGTCTCGTCTGCAACGCGCGCGGTGAAACTCGCTCATGAAATATTGATTATGGAGAAGACCAGGCTTCTCTCTTTCGTTCTCTCTTCCTCGTCGTCCAGCCGACGACTCTCTCGTCGCGCGATCGTGATGAACACGAACACGCCGATTCCCGTAATCCTCACGACGCAATATAAGTATTCTCGATTTATAATAGAAGTAACGATGTAATATAATATAATCGTTTCTTATTTCAGAAAATTAATAACATTCGGAGCTTAACGAATGTGTGCGGTTATCTACGACAATAAATTCATTCGTATACTTTAAATCGGCTCTACTTTTTTCTTCTATTTTAATATTTCTGGAGACAATTAATTTTCTCTCGATTAAAAGACACAAATAAAACGCGAAAAAATAAACGTTTCTGAATATTTTATTATTTATTTATTATACATTTCAATTATGTATAATATAATTAAAATATATTTATAATATATATTAATATATGTATATGTGTATAATATGTAATATCCGCGTATTGTAATATTATATATTTATAGAAATAGACATTATTTTTAGTAAAAAATATATTTTTTGCGCAATATAATCTATAAATTGTGTTTTTTACAAGTATGTATAAATATGTAACCAAATATATAAATATACATAATCATATATAAATATACGTAAAAATTGAAACAGGAAGAAAACGGGTTGTGTTAAAATATACACATACATCTTTGCCGATGTGAAATGCGTGTGCGAATTGCGCGCGAACGTGAGGAGGCGAAATGACAGTGAAAGCACGCGGATGTTCAAGGAAACGACTCAGAGAATACTTTCAAATTGCAGTACTGAGCGACGGCGGAGGTGGCGGCGGTGGCGGCAACAGCACCACTAGCTGGGACAAAATCAAACTGTGCGGCGCCGATTTCTGCATCCTTGGAAACGGAGGTCACGAGAACCTGGAACGGCCGCCGGAGTCTGAGATCTACGAGATTTCCGCTATTTATCTTTCGTGCATCATCGTCGCGGTGATAATCGTCGCTCTGTTTGTCGATCCTCTTTCCAGGTAAGAATCGCCAGCGATAACAATCGTCGCTTCGAGATGTTAATTCTTCGCGGTTCTTTTCTTTTTTTTTTTTTTTTTTTGTTACGAGTGGCTCGCGCCGAACGTGGTGGCAATGAAATCTAATTGCGAAAGCAGACAATTCCGCACAAAAAAAAATGACGAAATATACACACGAGACGTTAAATACAAAAGAAAACGAAACTTAAGAAAAGAAAGCTGCTTCTGTCCGCGCACCAGTCGGGCGCGCAATCTCACCGATAGTGACGATATTTTATCATATTTATCCGCAATTTCGCGTTGAATTGCTATTGCTCGAACTGTCGTTGTCGCGGTCACTTTTATGCTAATATACGGACGACAAATAATCGTCGTTTGCGATACGTATTTTGTCCGACCGCTTCGAATGTGAAGCAACGACCGAACGACGAGAAGAAAAGATTTATTTTCTCTCTTCAATTTGATGAGAAAACAAGGCGTTGTTTTCGCGCCGTGTCGTTGACGTTGTTCGCGCTTCAAAACTTCTTCACCTCGATCTGACACGAACGCGACGACTAAAGAGAAAGCTCTTGTTTGTATTCACGGATGCGTTAGAGAATGTTGTCGCCTTGAAAATCAACTTGAACGCATTTTTCAATCGCTTTCGTAATACGTAATAGAAAATTTCCAAGAAAAAAATTACTTAAGAAATATAAAGTATGGTCATATAAGAGCCGTTTGCAGGATGTTGTGCAGAAATATGCTAATATATATATATGTATACACATATATGTATATATGTATTCACATGTAAATTAAAATTACTTAATTTACGCGACGTGCGCTCTCGTCGAAAAGTCGATTTACGTCGTTTTTGCGACGGCTAAATTGCGCTTTTGTCGTGACGATTTCGTGTTAGCGATATTATTTCGCGAACTTGTCAGATCGTTCGAAGAAATTACGAAATTGTTTTTTAAACGATCGTCTCTTTTAAAAAAAAAATAACGAACAACGCGAGTGTAGAAGCTCTTAGTTTTACCGCGCGCCGCGCCGTCACGATGGTTTCCAGTTTCGACGGTAATCTCGTTTCGACGATGAAACATACGCGAAAATGATTAAGAGACAGAAGTCGGCATTTTTCGCGGCGTTACGAAACGCGACTTGATTGACGTGATCCGCAAAATCCGTCAGAGAGGCCGAATATTCTCTCTCTCTTTACACTTCTTTCCCGCGCCCCCGTTCATCTCGGGGATCGCTGTACAGCCATTCGCTCTGAATATGATTGCGAAATTGCATGCTTCCGACAAGACGTGCCACCCGCTGCTCTGTGTTGCAGTTGCGTAACGTTACACGCAGTGTGAACCGTATTTATTAAAAGTAGTCGGTACGTGGTTCTCTTTGTGGAGACTCGCTTTGCGTCGACTCTAAACGCGCGTATATCCTTCAACAAAAGCAACTGGCCTGCGCGCTGGCGAGAAAAACTCTGAATATCCTCCACACATCGTTGAAACACAATTCAACTCAAACGTGTTTGGCTCTTGCTCTCGCCTATCTATGTAAAATAAAGTAAACAATTAGAAAGTTTATTTATTAAACAATTAGAAGTTTATCATATAACATCGGTGTAACTGGAATTTAAAGAAAGAGACAGTTTTTTTTTCTATTTTTTATTACATTTAAATTGGATGAAATAATAGCAATTCGTCGCGTAAGCTACGGAATCGTGACGCAATACAATTACACGAGACCTAGAGCAAAAACTAAACACATCTATCAGTTCAATCCAATTACGAGCACGATGTTTTACCGCTTGTTTCTTGATATGAAAATCAATGCCGTTTGCATTGTGTTACATGATAATTGATATTGTGAAAAAAAATTAATAGTGTATCGTTGAATAACGAGATCCCACAGCTTGTTTTTCTCCTGAGATAAATTTAATTACTATCACATTCGCGTTAAATTGCAAAAAATATACGCGAGATCTAAATAAAATTAAAAAACAAAACAAAAACAAAACGCGATCGTATTGTAATTTTTCGCAAACGCGTAATAACCGAATCGCATCTCGTTCGTACGGAGAGTTGTTATTTCGCTTTTTTCTGTCGTCGGTAAAATCTCCTCTTCCTTTCCTCCTCCTCCCCTTCCCTCTCTCGTATTCATCCTGTCTACGAGGAGAGGAAGATGCTCAAGGACAATGACTATCCGGATGTAAGCAACTCTTAATGATACGCTATTCGCCAAATTATTATCGGGCCGAAAATTAAGTTGCGGTGCACAACATTAGATTCTTGCAAAATAACGTACCTCGGTTAAATGCGCGTGACATCGAGATGTACGATGTCACGCGCACGCACACACAAAATTAATCTATTCACAATTAATACAAGCAAAAGATATCGCTAATGCAGACACTGTGTCATTAACGACACTTTTATTGGAAACAAACGACAGCATCGCCGCGGCTACAAAGGGAATTGAGGAAAACGCGCACAAGTATTCTCGTTTCCTGTTCGCACACTTGGCCGATTCGCTTAATGAATTGTTTTTATGGACAGCTGCGTTGAGTTATACGTTTTTACGCTTTTCTCGCAACAACGCAAGGTTTCGTTCAATGCGATTTATCCGAGAGAGAGAGAGAGAGAAAAAGAGATGATAGTGTTCGAACCTCTCGCACGCTTGTGTAAGTAAACGACGAAAAATTACGCTCGCTGTTAGATCGAACTGATAGACAGACGGTATCGTTTGGCTTTTATTAGCAATCAGTAATTACAACATTGTAAAGACTGCGCCGCGACAGATTTTCCCGCGCGAGTAGCCGCGGGACTTTTCGCGATCTCTCGTTCAATTTAACGAAGAACAAAAATGTTTTTCCCCGCAGAAAATTGATTAATTAATATTGTTAGTAAATTCTTTCTCGTTGTGCTGCTTCGGCGAGTTTATATTTCCTTTTCCAATATTTTATAATAGTAGGAAGTGACTTTATTAAGTCTTTTTCTCAACAAGTTATTTTGTTGAATTTCTACCGAAAAGAAAAAAAAATCTTTTAGGTGTTTCTTTTACACATTTTCACGCGCGTTTCTTTATCTTCAGTGATGGATTTATTATGAGATTTTGTTAAACGAATGTATCCTTAAAACTTCTGGAAAAATTTATGGCAGCCTGTGTGCGTGTGTGTGTGTGTGTGAGTTACTCTATACGAGTTGTTTCGCAAGGCCGTGCCGTTTCCATAATTTACATGCGCTCAGGCGTTAGCTTTGATAACGAGAACACGATGCCGGTTTAACGAAAAGAAAACGATGATAAAGCAACACTCGCGGTTGCACGGTCGCGTCACATGTGTTAGTCTATTAATCGTTTCTATTTGTATATTCGCAAGGACGGAAAGATTTTCATATAACACAATATATTCTATTTGATCTTCGTAAAAACGTAACGTTGAATCACGCAATTAATTAAACTAGAATTATTGTTGAGTAAACATATTGTGTTGTTTTGAGCCAAGACTAATTGAAACGCGCGAAAATAGTTTTGCGTATTTTTCGAGTATTATTTGTGTGGCGCATCCTCTCTGTAGATTTTCAATTTTCACTCTCCGCGGCTCCGAATTTTGCAACAACACTTTCTCTCTTCGAATTTAACGAAGAATTTAAAATCGTTTTCTGTTTGCCGGGAGAGAAAGTAATTGCAGTGGGAGACGTTTCGTACGTCTGCATACGTATATTTTATCGCTATTTGCGACAAAGCAAATGTATTTGGGACGCGCGTTTTGCCACGTACCGATATATAAGCAGCACGGAGTTTCCCACACATGTTTTTCGCTTGTTTTTCCATTTAAAATCCGAACCACACTTCTCGCGTCGTTTGCTATCGCTTAAAGAAAACACACAATTTCTTTGTTCGCCATGTGCGCGTGTGTGTCTGTTATCGCACTCACGAGAACGTTACATTTAGATAACGAATTGAGTGCGTATTATTAAAAAAGGAATTCCATTATCTACATTTTTTCAAGAAATGTTTAATAAAAAAAACAAGATTCAAATATGTTGTTTTTACGCTAAAGAAGTAGTCATATCCTTCTTGAAATAAAACACAGGATATAAATCGGAAGTTGTAATCAAGCAAATAATTGAATAAAGTTAAGAAAAAATCAAATTTTTTTGATTTCGACACGGAATAAAATTTTTATTATATTTATATTTTATCTAATTTTTATTTCTTATATAAAAAAATTTGTGTTTAAATAAAGTTATTTAAATAATTTATTTAAAAAGTTTATTTTATATGAAACATTTTATACAATCTATTATTGAGAAACACGTTAATTTCAAAAACTTAAAAAAAATCGATAATATTCACATTTACGTTGTTTTAATGATACTCATCGAATACTTCTAAACTACTGCTTATTCTTTGACTTAGAACAATACACAAAAATCCGTCCGTATAACTGTTGAGCCGCCAGCTCGCTAATAAATCGTTCCTGTGTTTTTCCGATTCTCCGGGGAGAAGAGGAGGGACTCGCGCCTGAGTTTAAGTCAAAGTGTCTTTTTCCGCCTCTCCGCGAGCATTGAAATCCCGCGATTACGCCGCCATTGCGCGCGTTGCGCAATCCGATTGTACGTACATACACCGACGACGCATCATGGTACCGGCGACGCGCGGCTGCGCTTCATTCATGCGATCATTTACGGAGATACGCGCCGGCCGTTCAATAATCGCCCACGATGAGGCGCATCGTAACGCGCAATATATGATACCGGTGCGGAGAAGAAAAACGTTTCCCCCCGTATGTATACACAAACACACACACACACGCGCATGTATATCCCTTTCCGGTCGACTCGGCGCGCATGCACGTCGGCGCTAATTTGCCTTCGGTTTCTGCCAGATAGGCAGATACAACCGGCGTGTGTATATACGCCGAGGTACAAGCTAAAGTTGTGTATATTGTATAACCACGTGTGTCGCTCGCGGACACTTGACTCACTTTCGATTTCCGGATGAGGTTTGCTTCTCTCGGCGTTATCGACGGTGTCTACAAGCGGTGTCTCAGACGCGCTCGTTGCAGAAACGCGCTTTTACATTTAAGCGATGATAATTTACGACCATCAGTTTAATGAGATAACCCACAGACAATCCGCGTCAGGTACACGTTTAACCGAGTAATTTCGAGAGAGAGGAAAACGCAATTGCCGCGAGTAAAACCGCGATCTTTGCGCTTGACGTCTCTGTTCCGACGAGAAACAACAAATGTCTCCGTCGCGAGATGTTCGAACGTTATATATGCATATACGTCTGTAAAGTTTTATTCTCGCTTAAATAAGCGATCGTTGTTACGTATTACGGCTTTGAGGAAACGATAAATCTGTTTAGACGAATCTGTGAGCGACGGTTGAATTTGCTAAAGCACAGTATTTAACGTGATTACGTCACCACAATTCACCTCACGACGTTAGAAGAGAGACGTTCGTTTCCCGCGACCCGCGCAACATTTCACGCGTTGATCGATGACGACAACCGCGGTCGTGAATTATCGAAATCGACCGCCGCCGAGCGTGAAAACACACGCGAGGAAGCTCAGCCTCGTTTTCTTTCCCGCCGCGGGGATGACTCTCGCGAATAATCGATCTCTCTCCCGAGACTTCCTCTCTCGATTCAATCGTGCGCGCGCGCGTTCTCTCTTTTCTTCCGCCGCCGAGAACATTCGTCACGACAACATCAGCATCGCGTATCACAGGAAGTTTAAGTTACGTAAAACGCGAACGTGGTTAAAACAAGATAAGAAATTCGTCTCGCGCGCAAATGGGAATCGATAGCCAATTTGCCGCTTCCATTCGCGTCACTTCCAAGGCGCGCGTTATAACGGTTCGGCGCGCGAACGCGTTGGAAAGCGAAGATTACGCGCGCGCGCGCGAAGAGATGCCTATAATGTCGCGCTAATGATAATTCACGGAAAATTCGTGTTAAATTAACAGAGGGCAATCTCGGAGAGAAAACGAGTAAAATTGCCGGGTTTTGCGGTAAAACCAACCCATCACGACTATCTGACACGTCTCTCTGTTGATGAGCTCGCGAAAACAAATGGCATATATTCCGTTTCTCGAAAAAGAAAAGAAAAACGCGCAGAATGTTCTTCGCGCGTGTGTGTTCGAGCTTGAGAAATTGCGCGAGAAGTTGGTCGCGGGAGATATTGAAGGCGCTTATGTGCGAAGGCATGTTCTTCACGGCGCCACGAGGAGACATCAGCGCGCGAAGAAAAACGTTTAAAGTAATAATAATTCGTCCTCTCTCCGGTTCGAGACCTAACGCGAGCGCGTCGTTCCAGGCGAACGATCGTTCTCTCTCCGTCTACGATCGTTCATCAAGTTGTCAGTCGCGAAATTAATGGACCAGTCAAAGGCAATGCGATAGACGTGGAAGATACGAGCTGCGGCTCGTTTCGCCATTTTTTTCCGCATCTTGTCTTCCATCTGTAAAAAAAAAAAAAAAAAAAACAAACAAAAAACACGCTCGTACCTGTTTTTTGAGCAAGTATTGTATCGATTCGAGGTGTATACGCCGTACGGTGCGCCGCTGGTGCTGGCCGGTCCCGCGAGTCCGGCGAACGTATTCTCAGGAATGCCGTCCTCCGGGATGGAGAACGTTCGCCTCGTGAGAGCTTGCTTAGAGGCAACGCCGTCCGGGAGATTTATTCTGCAAATTCACCGACGCGCGTCGACGACTCGTTTTGTTACTCCACCGCTACTCGTCCGCCCGGACTATAACTTTTCGTGAACTCGCAGGATTGTACGTCCATCTTCGTTGGCTAAATTTAGCTCCGCGCGACTGCGTACGGAACTTGCCACGTGACAGTGACTCTCAATTTGTTATTAAATGAATATATATGTGTGTACTCTTTGTTCTTTTCTCGCGCACAAGTGAAAATTAAATCAACATAAAGATTTTGCAAGAAATCACACACATTTTTTTTTGTATAATTACTTGGAAACTTTTTCGCAGATTATTTTCTTAGCATTTAGAGAACCATTCTAGAGAAGTCAATCAAAGATTTTATTTATTTTTGGTTTTTTGACAATCGCGATAATCTTCATAATTGCGACAGGGAAAGGCGACAGAAACAAGATGTGGCGTACGCCACATTTTGGGTAAAAAATGAAATTAGACTAAAAGAATATCGAGATGTATCAGTACGTGACTTGAAAATTACAGAGGGCGTTACAGAGGGTAGATAATAAAAAAAAATTTACGCAAACTGTCAATCGTTGACTTGTTGCGAACAGTGGAAATCGTGATCGCGTCTTGCTCCAATCCGCAACACGAAACAATGAATGAATGCGATTTTAGCACGCGACATCGTTCAATGGCAATGTACACCGGTAGAGAAGTTTGCCGATTGCGCAACTCATTTCCGCGTGGCTCGCGTTGCACGGACGCTGAATAAGTACATGGATGGAACAATCGCGATGATAATTAATCGCAGCCGTCATTAATCCCCGTTCCCGAGCGAGCGCGGCTCTTCCTCTTTGCGAATAGCGGCGCAAAAGTCCGCCGGAAAATCATAGGTTTTCAACGGCAGTTAGCCATCATTGTTCATTCACGTTTCCCGCTCTATTGTTCGTCCCGTCGACTCTCTTTGGCTTCTGTGTGTGCGTGCGCCACATAACGTGCAAAAATTATTCTCGCCATGAAATATAACGACATTGTTGAAGCACGTAGTGTTTTTATTTATATTTTATCGCACACATATTTTTGTGACGCATATATTGTCGGAGGAAACGCGTACGTCCGTGCAAATGCGAGCGCCGCTGTTAATTAATTTTATTTCTTTCCGAGAACAATAAAAATTAATATTTAATTTTGTCAATAAAAGAGATTCGATACAAAGACACTCAAAAACACACTCAGTAGCACAAACACGGATATTTGCTATTCAGATAAAAATCGCACGGTCGCACAGATTTTCCGGTAGCGAGAGAAACGCGAATGACTAACAAGAAGTCTTTTGCGATCCCCACCTCTTGTTGATGAAACGTGTTCTATCGCCAGATGTATCTCTCAAGTCTGGCGCAATTTTGTTTTTTTTTTTCCCGGAATCAGACCAATTATTTCCGCACACTTGATTTTCCGCGTCCGCGTGTCTCGTGTTTGTTCATCGCGGAAGCTGGGACACGCATCGCGTTCAAATAGATAAATAATAAGTCAGTAAATCGCAAACAGTCGTTTTAGCTCGATTTCTCAAGGTGACGTGACTCTTAATTTTTTTGTTTTTTTTTTTTTGTTTCTTCCAGGTACGGCGAGAAGCAACGACGATCGGACAGTCAGGAACTGAGCGGCATTCAGTTGCTCTCTGCCACGGCTTATCAGCTGAAGAAACCCTATCAGCAACTGTTGATACCGATCACGATATGGATCGGTATGGAGCAAGCTTTCATTGGTGCCGATTTCACACAAGTGAGTTGAAAAAAAAAAAAGAAATAAATTTTAAATTCAAAGTTTTTTTTCGAACAGCTTCTAAAACAGTCGACGAGGAAACACAGAGCAGTTTTTTTCATATAAATATTCTACGTACTTCAATACCTTACTCAACAAACTTACTCAACGTTTTTTTTCGTTGGATGTCTAATATTTGAAAGCATAATAATACATAAAATAATACACAAGCGAACAAAAAAAGGTGTATCGCCCGCAACAAAGCAACTCTTGTTTAAATACATGGAACTTTCTACTGTCAGTTGCGCGCGCGATCGCGCTCATTTTGCAATATATAAATCGATATCCGCGGTCACTCCTTTTCGCATTGCGTTTTACCGCGATCGCTGCCGTAAAACAATGGCATTCCAGTTCGCAAACCCACGCGCGCCGTCGTTCGACTTGTTGCGCGCAGCCACTCAATGCGCTCCCGCGAGACATTGATAAGAAAATGCCGCCGTCCTTGGTCCCGGTACCAGGATCCGACAATAACGAAGCGCGATGACGTCAGCTCAACCTGCCTTCGTAATTATTCGATGGCTCAAAGCCACCGTGCGGTTGAGAAGATAAACCTGAAAAAAGTGAGGCGCGGAACACACACACACACACACACAAAGAAAAAAAAGGGAGTTCCGCGTATCTCCGTTTATAGAGCTCCTTTCTTATTCCCGGGCACGAACCGAACCGGCTATATATTTATAGCGACTCGCAAGAGTCGCGGGAAAGATTTATCGACGATCGCGCGTGCGCGCACTGCGACGTGCCGGCGAACGTAATTATTTGTCATGACGCGCGGCAATCCTCTTCGGAAACGGTAAAATCTTCGACCGCAGGAGAAATATCTCACGTGGAATACGTGTTGACACAAAAGCTGTCAGCAGCACCTCGTGCTTCGTCGAAAAACGAAGAAAACATAGCCGGTATTAAAGAGATGCGAGAACGTGTCGTAAATTATTCGGTTTTATTGCGAATCTGTTAATCGAGTTTTTTTTTGCGAGAAAAGGCGGGACAAGTCAGCGTTCAATTTTTTACGCTTCCGCGTGCGAAATATAAATTCCATCTCTCGCGCGTATTTGAAACGAGAGAGAGTTTTTTTTTCGAGAAAGAGAGACTCATCTTTCCGATTCCCGGATCTTGAGAATCTCTGGTTATACTTTAACCTACTTCCGAAGCTATATAAAGAGGAAATGCGTAATATACAGAAGTCTTTCGCCGATCGGTCTTGATAACCGGTCGGTCTTTCCGATGGATTTTCTCTTTTTGCGCGCTTCATCTGTGGCGCCGCAGTTTACCTTTCTCGATCGCCGAAGAGTCGCGCGATCGGACGACGGTCTCTTCGTTCTCTTTCCCCGTTTCGCGGAAACCGTCGCCGAAGTCGACGCGAATGCCGATGTAATTTTTTTTTTTTTTTTACTTCTAAATCTCTACGCACATAAAATATCTGCTACCGGAGTTGTGTAACCCTTCTACAGAGGGAGCGGAATTTTTTTCTCAAGGAGTTCGTTGATCGCGGCATCAACTCAATTTTGTAAAAATGATCTGTCGCCGGTTTGCGGAGGATAAGCGGGAGAGGCTCTTCAGGGAGAGACTGGAACTCGTGCAGGGTCGCGCGCGCCTGTCGACGGATGAAACCCGTCGTTATTGCCGCGACCCTGCGCGATAAAGAGAGCCTCGGCTCGCGCGACTCGTTCGAAACTGGTTCGCCGACAAGTGGTCGTGCGGCGGCGCGCGCACTTTTTGACTCCGGCCGGCCAGATAATTGGGTAATTAAACGCGCACACACACAGAAGAGGAAACAGGATGAAGAACGAAATAAGTAAAAGAGGAGATAAGAAGGTGCTTGCACGCTCTGCTGAGTCAGCTGTGGGGGGCGCTTCGATATATAAATAGCCCTCGTGAGCTTATTCTCTCTGACGCGGATCCGGTGATACCACTTCCATATCTGGAATCCGGCGTATCAGCGTCTCTCACGTGTGCACGTAGGAGCGCGCGGTCATAATCGTACACGTGTCGCATGGCCGATCTTCCTGCGAGCGTTCTCGAGGAACGCCCGTTCGGACAATTTGGCGAGCGAGAGAAGCCGTTAAAAAAACGCGGCGACGTTTACAGCTGACGAATATTTCACGCAGTTTTGACGTGAGATTTAATCAATGTTTTTGCTCGCGCGCATACACACACACACACACACACACGCTCGATTATAATAACAGAATCGGTGAACATGAATTATCTTGACGATCACAACACCATTTCGTGGCGTCACTCACCTTCGACGCGAACACACACGCGACTCGCAGATATTGTCTTGTTGCTGAATAACAACAACACGCAATGTATACAGCAATTTTGTTTTCTCAGTCATATCGCACGTTATTTCAACTTTTTTTTTGTTTCTTACGCGTGTGATTATCAATCATTTATTTTGTGGAGAATCACGCGGTCAGATACGCATGTTGATCCGAGACAAAGTACCACTGAAAAGGAGTATCCTTGTAAGTGCTCCTTCGTTCAAGGACGCGCGTGTCCGTGTGCTCCGGAGATCGGTACACCGTGTATTATCTCCAAGATCGTAACTCGCGTCATAATGGATTTGGATGGAGAATTAAAATTGCTCTCGAAGAATTCGCCAAAAAAAAAAAAAAATTTCACTATTCGATGTTGCGGCTTATCGTCATATGTCGCGCGTCAAGAAGTGATTGATGGAATTAATAATTATCCCAAGATGCGTGCACGAAGACTGACATCAACTTGATGTCCGGACAAGGACATCGATTTGCTTAAGTTTACAGGAAAAAAAATAACGTTTAACGAAGTGTAAACACGCTCCCACGCAACCAGCAAGTGTTTCTAGGTTTTAGAGTAATTTTCTCAGAAAACAATTACGCCTTCCGTAAATGAATCTCGTTCCGCATTTGTAACTTACAAGAAAACCTCGAAAAATTATGATTTGGATGAAACCTCACACACACACGTGGAGGAAGTAAATAGATGACTTTAGAATTTTCAATTCCGATCCAAAAACACTTCTAAGAGATGGAACCGTTCATGTAGAGTGTTTTTGGGTTTTCTCAATGTATCTTGAAAATTATTCAAGTCAAATAATTTTTATATTAAAATGTTCTATTTATAGCTACATTAATAAAATTTTGATTTAAAAAAAGAAATATATATTTTTTAGAAATATATTAAAAAAGGAGAAACAAAAATCTGTTTTACGTATGAGGAATGATTTTACTCTTTGGAATCGTTTTTCAAGCCGCAACTGAACATTTCTGAATTCATTCTATTTATCTTCACCTCTTCTACATGTGTAAAATTTTGTCAAAATTGAAATTTTTGAGTTCTCGCGAAGTTTCCTTGTCAGTTTAAATATATACGAAATTGGCGCACTTTGCGATTATATTACCAATTATTATGCACTTTACATATTTCTTCAAACTTGACTTTACTAACGTTTTAAACACAAAGATTAGAAAATACAGAATAAGACATTATTCAACACGCAATTTAATTACGGCAACCATTGGGGTTTTACTTACTCATCGGCAGTTTCAAAAACGCAAAGTGCGCGACATAAAATCTAGAAACGACGCAGATCATTTTCAACAAATTGAAGACGGAATAAAATAATTAATTAAACTATTACCTAAAATAATTAATTAAACTACTTTCTTCATTTATTTTCAGGCGTATATTTCCTGCGCTCTGGGCGTACACAGGGTAGGCTACGTCATGATTTGCTTCGGGGTTGTAAACGCCGGATGTTCGTTGCTATTCGGCTCGTTGATGAAATTCGTCGGCAGACAGCCTTTGATGGCGCTGGGCGCTATCGTTCACGTCTCCCTCATAGTAGTTCTCCTCATGTGGAAGCCACATCCCGACAATCCCTACGTCTTTTACTCGGTTTCGGGATTGTGGGGTGTGGGCGATGCCGTGTGGCAGACGCAAGTTAACGGTGAGTTAAAACCACGTCGCAATTTACATGTTAACGATGTGTATAAGTAAAAACAGACACACGGGAGTGTGCGTCTATTCAAGTAGTCTTACATTATCGCTTTAAAATCCGCATTCATGAATTTTGATCGCAAAGTCATCGGCTCTTTCATTTATATTTACATAGTCAACGAGGAAGTGTTGATAAACCGAAAGGATGCTTGAGACGATGCGCGTCAATGTACACATGATAAATTTGTCTCAGGAGACATTTTAATGCTGCTGATTAATATTAATGTATGGGAAGAATCTTACCAAGTACGTCCAATCGACCCAAATCCGAGAAAAGAGGAGAGGTTTTTTTCACCCCGTGGTGAATGGTCGGATAACGGACTTGTGTGTGTGCATTGTGTATAAATATAAGTCGCACACATTTTCATATAATCAAATGATCTCAGAAAAAAGTTTCTTTTTTTTTTACGGTCGATTATTTTATCAACGATAATCAATAAAAAATTAACCATGTATCGAGAGAAAATAATAAATTGCGATTTAACGATCGACAAAATTGCTTCGGTAACTGATGACTGGATCGTCGGTAATGCGAATTCTTTCTACGATTGTCTGGCACATATGTCGCCGCGCTCTGTAATCAGAATAAATTAATAAAAAGCGTCATGATTAATGAAAATGTAAGTCATCAACAACAAAAAAATAACCGTGGAAGTTAAGAGAGAAAATAGCAATAATTTGTGCGATTTTTAACGATAATTGACAATAATGATACTGCAAATTGTGAATAGCAAAGTGCTTCTGCGCGTACTGAAGATTATATCTGAAGAGAAGATACGCAGTAAGTTCTTTTTGTATCGAACACTTCCATCGCCAAACATTCGCCTCGCGAACAAATACTCGTGTGTAACATCATCGGAAAGATGATTTCGACCTTCGTCGATGAGTCACTTTCGAAAATTTCGATTTGGTAATAAAAACTTTATGCGGCAAAAACTCTATTTAGTATAATTATGTAATTATCGTTTTTTTTTTTTTTATTTTTAATTTCAGAAACGCTTTGTTACGTATTTTGCAAACGTATTATATTTATCTCGCAAGAAGATGATACAAAACTCTACGTTTTTTTGCACATATTACAAATAGATTTCTCTCTTTTTTTTTATAACAACTGAAAAAAGAAATTACAATATCCGTTTCTATTCCCGGAGACGGAAAGAATAATCGAGCAACTTTTTGTACAACTTTGCGCGCAAATCAAATCTCGCTCGTTCACAAAGAACGGTTCGCACGCGTAACAAACAGCCGAGTGACACGCGGTAATTTCGCGTTGCTTGCGCACAGCAGGTTTTTCGCATGTAATTAGAGCTTCTGCACAATTACACCGGCCGGAAAGCGAGACTCGAGAGAACCGTCTGTGTCTGTGTGTGTGTGTGTGTGTGTATGTGATTTTGCGCTCGGGTGTGCGCGAATTAATCGCTCGGTCGATCTATTCGAATCACATCCCAAGAGTTTGCTGAAACCGATATGCAAATTCTCAGCTAGTTGCATACGTATTAAGTCACACAATGTAGACAGCTGCAATTATTTGTCGAGCAATTAAATGCGTCACGTGCATCGTGCGAACTATTAAATTTAGTGCGCGTCTAACATTAATTAAATACTTTGCGGACAGATCTCAAAAATGACCTACGAGTCAGATCGATCTGTGAGACCTACGCGATTTTTTAAAATCGAACATTTCCGCGAAAAATCAATCATTTTTTTATATTTTTTTTAAATCGCAATTTATTATTTCCTCTCGATATGGTTAATTTTTTATCGATTATCGTTGATTACGTGAAAATGTGTGCGACTTATATTTAATTATTTTTATCAAAAGCTTGAACGCGATTCTGCGTCGATAAAAACAAATCTCTGGTAATTTCAAAGAGCCTTTTAAAAACTTAACTTTCATTGCAAAACGCCAATGCGCAATTTTTGAGTGGGTCTAGAAGACCCATGTCTGTCCGTGAATGGTAAATCATCGGGACGTTTGATATTATCGCAATTGAAAATACGTCCGCGAACATATTTTCCAAAAAAAAACAGATCTCCAAAAGTTTCTTTAGATATAAATTTCAAGAAACGCACGCGCGCGAAAACGTGGCAAACTAGCCGGAGCGTTGAAAGAGCTTCGCGATGTTCTTTCTCGGGACTGATGAACGTTTTTCTCCGGACGTAATTGCATCGACGAAAAGATCTGGGTCTTTCGGTTTGTTACGCCGCGCGGCCGGATCCGCTATCATTATCGCGATTAATGTTTTTTCCGCGTCTAACGAGAGTGCCTGCGCGGGTCAAGGATGAGGAATTTCAAAGGGAAATGCGACACCTACACACGCTCGTTTACTTACCGAGTCGCGGACTACACATATACCTCGAAGCTCTGTGTCTGAATGCGCGCAACACCGCTAGTTGCACACGAATCGCCGTGAATCCGATAAGAGAGCACTCGTCTAGCGAGACACGCAACGAGACACCTTCTGTTGGTTTATGCGCGCTCGCGAGTCAGAGATTTCTTAACAAATAGACGGACATAACACTTTAGCGGAGAAACGTTCGCAATACAAAACGCGTTTTGCAACACGCTCGTTGTGTGTTACAGAATTTATTTCTCAATATTATCGTATGTGTGGACTCTATATATTTTGAAATCATTGTTTTGCAAAGTTGCGTAAAATAAGGAAAATTATTGTATTTTTTTTTTATATAGTTACAAAAGAGATTTTCTGTTTCAAGAAATAAGAAGAGCCAAACGTATGTTATGTAAAATACGCTTACTGACAAAAGTTAAAAGACGAAGTGATATTTTTTTAACATTAAATCGCTGACCAATAGAACGTCGCGCATTATTTCTCAAGTCATTTTCAAATAAATTGAATTAATTTTCATCACTTCACTAAATTTTTGACCACTTACAGGAATGTATATGTTCGCACACCAAAGTTCTTAAAAATATCTACTTTGTTCACTTAAAATAACTACTTTATTTAACTCTTGTTATTAAGCGTATATTTTTTTAAACGCGCAAATTAATTCACATGGTAATTCCAACTAAAATCAATTCAAAAATTCATATTCAATGCTTAATTTGCATCTCGTATGCATATAAATAACTTCTTTTACTCCGCTGTGAAATTGAAAAAAAAATTCATTACGAAAAAGATATCAAGGTTCGACTTCTTGGTCAGGAGTTTGTTAACTCAGACTTCCCGCATTCCGTGTGATCGCCTTACCGATTCGGTGCCAGGTATTTGGTGAATTTTTCGCGATGTTTAAGAAGGTACTGGATACCGACTATAGAGACCTGTAAATTGATGTTTTAGAAATCAAAATTTCTCTAATTTCGAAATTAATTTTATCGCATTACATAAAAAGTGCTTCTACAGAAACAAATAAATATAAAAAACTACATAGTGCTTTCGAAAATGGATATATAATGCTCTTTTAAGATTTTTTTTTCATTCGCTATGATAGCATATGATAACCTATGATATCATCACGAGAATCGCTTTTTCTCGTTAACTACACATTCTAATCATAATCTGAATGTTTCATAATATTCTTTTATGTCGCTTTTTACTTACCGATAAAACCGCGAGCAAAGACAACGTGTGTCAACGGCAGAAGGAAACATTTCAACCGTTAATTGAAGTCTCAAAAATCAAGAATTCAATTTTTCATATTCTCACAAAAAAATTGTTTCAATATACTCGCACGAAGAACGTTCACGAAAGTCGTGCAAGATTTATGTTTTTTTTTTTTTTTGGATAACAAAAGACCAACTTCCTCGCAGGCTAATTTTTCTCTCGAAAAAAATTCTCTTTTCATTTTTTCTTTGTTACTTCTTCGCGCGACACGTTCGTGCTTTAACTAATAATTAATTCGACATTTTTCGCAGGACTTTACGGCACGCTGTTCAGGCGCAACAAAGAGGCGGCTTTCTCGAACTACAGGCTGTGGGAGAGCGCCGGCTTCGTGATCGCTTACGCGTACAGCACGCATCTCTGCGCTCGTATGAAGCTGTACGTGATGCTGACGGTGCTGCTTACCGGCTCAGTGGGCTACATCATCGTCGAGCTGCTCCACAGACGCAAGCAACGACGGCTCAAAGCGATCGCCGAAGATCCGAAGGCCGCCCAAGCCGAGGCGAATCAGCCGGAGGAGACCGACGACGAGAAGGACGATCTCGACGACGAGATCATCATCACCCACTTGTGAGCGCGTCTGACTTGCGATCGTCGTTTAGTGTCGTTTCTCGCTGACAGTCTCGTTTCTCGTCGACGGAGGAGAAATCGAGAAGAAGACGGACGTTCGGAAGACTCGATCGGACTCCAATCCCGCGCGAGTATCCCTGATATCACAGACAAACTCTTTCTTTCTCTCTCTCTCTCTCTCCACTTCACCTTCATTTTTCTATTTATCAGTCTTTCGCGATGTTTTTTTTTCTCCATCGACGACACAGATGAGAAGAGCGTGCCCTCTCTTCCCTCTTCCTTCTTCCCCCTGATTGCGAACCGTGTGCGCGTATTGAGTCGCGGAGGATCCTGACTTTTCCGATCATTCGCGACGAAGCGGGAACGCCGAGGATCGACTTTATCCCGCTGACGTTACACGCTCTTTCCTCGGCGGGACTGTTGCAAATCGATAAGTAATACACGCTTATCAATTATATACCTGTGGTGCTATGGTTACGTAGAATTTGCTTTCGTGCGCGGTGCACGCACGCACGCACGCACGCACGCACGCACGCACGCACGCACGCGACACGCACGAGAGAAGCTCATCACATCCTTTCCCTTTTCCCCATCCTTCGAAACTGCCTCTGTACTCAATTAAGATTTGGATTTCGAGAATATATTGTTATTCGGTCACACGTCGCAAAATCTCTCGCATATTTTTCTTTACGAAAGAAGCATACGAATACTAATAATAATAATAATAATAATAACAATAATGAGTTGCGCGCTGAAACAGTATTTTCTCCCTGCCAAAAATGGACGAATCAAAAGAAAGCGGATAACGTACGTATTTCGAAAGTTTTTGATCGTGTGTGTGATTCTCTCACTTTTTTTTTGTATAACATCTGTATTTGTGCTTAAGTGCAATAAGTTTCGACTCAGGCAACAACAATTTTTATTTTGAGATAATTTGAAGTTACTGCAATTCCACCTGATGGATTTTTACACTTATCTTAATGTCAAATAATAACATAAATAATGAATAAGTTCCCACATTCAGACAGCAAAAGATTTATCGTTTTTTTTTTTTTTTTTTAATAAGTTGAAGTCACTGTAATTCCACTCAATAATTTTACATTTACCTGATATTAAGATAAATGTGAAAATCATTAGACGGGATTGCAGCAACTGCGAATTATCTCGGAAAAGATAAATTGTTGTTGCTCGAATCGTAATTTGTTTATGAATCAATCTGGTAGTTTTACCTTACCGTTTTTTTTTCTTTTTATAAAATACGATTTATCGCAATAAATCGAACAAGAGAGATTAAACGTTTTTTTTTTTTTTTTTCATTCGATTGTTGTTTTCCGCGGAAAAACCTCACGCGCCATTTTTTCTTCGCTCTTTAGATCAGACAAAAAAAAAGAAGGACGCGCGTAAAACATCAAGTTACTATGTGCACAACACACCGTAAATTGCTTGGATGGTACTTTTGCGTCCCTATCGCACACGGTACAGCTCAAGAGTCTTACAAACGCGTTTTTAGGTTTAGAGTAGATCCGCGATCGCGGAGCTTCCACGACGTGGAAGCCAATTCTCGCGAGTCGACATCGTGTTGAAAGAACACTGATTATTTTTCTGACTGAAATGGCAACCGAGATGACGAAACGCAAAGCCAATTTCTCGGTTCTTATGTCCGCGTGCGGAGGAGACGATTGCGAGATAGGAAAAGAGGATTATATCATGCGAAAGTATTATATCGCAGAGAATGTATACATTGTTTATCGATTAACCGTGAAAGGATGTGTGTGTGTGGTACGTGAGAATATTAAAAACACTCGCGCGTATCGACGGTCTAATAAGTTTCTCGAATCTACGCGCATTCTCCGTAAATAAAACAAAAATAAATACTTCGACAATACTCCACAGTGTTAAATGTTCCACGTCCTCGCGAAATTGCAAACGTACATATATCCGCAATACAAGAGATCGAGAAAAAAAAGTTTACCGCTGAAGTAAAATAAAAATAAAAATAACAACAACCATCTCTCGTCTTACACGAGTTTTAACGTCGTTGAACCGCAATGTCGACTTTGCGATGTCAACTCTTGATGAGACGCTCGTCCGAGTTTCACAAAGCCTGTGTGCGCAACAAAACGCGAAGCGCAAGATTCGCGAGGTCGTTTTATTGCAAGAAGCGTCGTGAAACTATCTGGTGCTCTCCCCCGGCACTCAGTCCCGAGGGGGGGAGGGGGGCAATTATCACGCGGTCCTTATCCGGCGCTTATCGGTCTTACACGCCTCTTCGTCGGACGCACGCGCATTTACTGCGCGTGCTCTCGGAACCTATCCTCTATCCTATCGGCGATAAATGAACCGGCTGCGCGACTCCAGTCGCGTTTCCGCGAATAAATGGCGCGGCTACTTTTTTTGTTTTTTCTTTTTCCAGCGGCGGCAACGCGAAGAACGGGACGGGGAGAGTAAAAGAAAAAGCCGGCGGGACGGAAAACTCGAGAGAAGATTCCTGTCATCCGGACGGGATTATCTGCGCTTGAAAAGTACCGCGACCGTCTATTTATATACCCGCGTGCGGTATACCAACATACCTGGTTTCTTCAATGAGAACGTTCGTCGCGGTCTCGTTTTGGTTTTTATTTTTCGTTTGTTTCTACCTTCTCTCTTGCTCGTTTCTTTTTTTTTTTTTTCCCCGACACGGCGCGACGACGGTCGATCGCGATTTTCTGCCCGATCGGCGCCACGGCCGGCGCGGGCAGGAGAAGAATATAATGACGATGTGTTGGCGGTTTACTCGCGCGCGCAAATAAAACCGCCGCCGCGCGCACTACGTAACGGGCGCTCGTTTTACTCTCTTTCGTTCGAACGAGAGATTTTACGCGCGTCGCCGATCTTTCGCCTTCTATCCCTCATTCCACTCATTCTGTCTTTCTTTCTCTCTCTCTCTCTCTTTCACTCCTTCTTCGTCTCCCAAATGCCGCGGAAAGTATTACGCTTCGCGCGATAAGGTCGTGTGTTTTTTTTTAATTCGTGTTACATTTATATCCCGTCGTGCGGCGAATTCCTAGCGTTCGTGCGTGTATCAGTGTCAAATAAATCGCAAAAGAAACGAGATGCGCGGCGCCGAGCCTCAACTGATTGTATTTCAAGCAGAAATCTTAATGAGAACCGTTGCGCAAATTAACGCTGCGTGTATTTTACTGCAGCGTTTTTGTTTGTTTGATTTTTTTTTTTTAATAATATATACGCGAGAAAACTTTTCTTACAAATGTGCGTATATAGATGTCAGATAGAAAAAGAACGACGACTCAATTCGAGATTTGTATCAAAGAATGTTGAATTGTTCGGAAAGTTCGTGGTGTGCGCGCGCGATTTCTCGCGCGTGAGAAAATTTCGTTATTTTCCGACACTCTCGCATGTAATTTTTATAGAAAAAGAAAGATTGTTCGGAAAGATTTAAAAATTCATTGGAAGTAGCTTCAAATTAAATAACAAAAAATAGGCTCGGAACCAAACCATCTGTGACGCGGTTATCTTTCATACGTATGTACATAGGTTACACGCTTTGGAGACGTGCCGGTTTCTCTGGTTGATGGTAGCTACGAACTTTTCGAACAAGCCAATGTGTATACGCGTTTTGCCACACGTAGAATATTACGATTTCTCGCGGAGACACACGTCGAGAGATGAATGTTCGCTTCATGTGCTCTGTTTTACTCTCGTATGTTGATGTAAGTTTAAGTGTCGAACTCGAGTGGTGCAATAGCGGCGGACGAGCGGAATCGGCGATCGAGTACTCTGGCGTTAAAATCGTGTACGAAAGGTAAAAAAAAAGAAGAAAAACGTTTTCTGAAGTTTCTGCTCTAAAATCGATCGTCCGACCCGATTCGTCCGTTCGCACGTATCGATATACATATTAAGTAAGAATATCTATAATAGTTTTTTTTTTTTTTTTACGACACGATACGCGTGAGCGAAAACTCGATCGTCGGGAATCTGTGACGGGGGGGACAAGGAGCTTTGCCCCCTCCTCCCGAAGTGTCCGCGTACGTTTTCGAAGGAGCACCATAGTTCTGTTTTAAGTTGAACTTGAATGGGACTCACGCGCGCAAAGAGAATCACACAATTTGCACTCTGAAATATATCAAAAAAATTGATGATGTTTAACCGGGATCACGGTCTAACATGTGTATTAATTTTTAAGCCCCCGAAATTAGACTTTCTAGATTTTACTGTGAAAGATATACATATATATATATATACACATAATGTAAAACAATTGTTTATAAGAGACGGAAAGATGCACAATGGAGGATTTCATCAATAATCCGGGGGTCGACGAAACATCGGGATTAGATAGAGTTTGCTTTATGTTCTTTTTTTTTTTGTTTTTACTGAGATTTGTAAATATATATTAATTATAGTATTACAAAAAATAAAAAAAAAAACAAAACAAATTCGTTAGGGCGTGTATGTGAAAAAGAACAAATGGACGTCGCTTTACATCGTCGAGCAAATTATTCGAGCGTTACTTTCTGTTTTTTCTATTTTTACTTAACCGCGTTGATGCGCGCCAAAAGAGCACACACAATTCCAGATGTTGTTATTATCCCTATCCCGCCCTTCGGAATCGTCAGAGTTGATTTTCTTCCTCGCGCTTGACACAACATTCTTTACGCGTTCCCCTACGAGGGAAAAGCGTATTACTTGTCTCGTTTTGTAAGTACAAAAAGTGAATGAGAAAGAGCGACAGAAGAGAACGGATGTCTATAACACACGCTTGTATATTCGCCCATTCTTGGGATGCGCATGAACGCGGTTGTTACACGGTATACTTCTTACACGTCCTTAGATGAGCTAAGGGGATCCAGTGCTAAAAGTTTATTTTATGTTGTTTTATCTTTATGATAAACGGATTGTGTTGTATGTAGTAGTGACGCCGATTGTTATCGATGCGTTTTGCGACAAATATTGTACAGTATATATATTATATATATATATAATATATATTATATATATTATATATATATATGTTTTCACACATTTCTCTTATTACATATGTATACTGCGTTCGATTGTTGATCGGTACGTTTATGACACGCAACGTTACAATAATTGATTGTTATATCGTCATTAATATATATATATATATAATATACACTAGTACATTAATAAAATAAAAATAAAAATTGCTGCTCGATGTTTTTCACTTGCGTGTATCAGTACAATAGCAATTTTTTTGTTTCACCATCTTCTCCTGTGTTTGTAAAAAAACACAAGTGATTTTGTGTGTTTTTACTTTTTAGTTATTTCCTTTCTCTCAATTGACATCAACATACACACGCGCAAGGTCTTTTAGAATTTTAGTTTAAGAGGGTTCTGGACCTTCCTGTTATACCAATCGAATAATAAATACAAAATGCAATCTAAAATACAAATTACTCGTTCGATTGGTATAACAAGGTCTAGGATTCTCTTAAGTAAGTTTCAACGATCAACTCGGCTTTTATCCAACGGTAAGTGATTTACATTGTGTTATTTACATTGTATAATACAAGTAATATTAACAAATTATAAATAAAAAAAAATATATACATATATATATACACAAAAATCTGCGAGATAAATAATTCCAATAATAATTTACTGCTCTTGAAAAAACCGAGAGAACAAAGAAGCAATTGCTGCCGTGTTATTATCTTGTTACATAATATGGTAAATGTCAAATTGCTCGACCGTGAGATCAATCTCAGTTATTCTAATGACAAAGGAATCTACGAATTTAAACAAAGAACTGACGAAACTCCGTTTACACACATACGTTTATCAAGTAATTTATTCTCCCATTTTCTTTCAATTGCTAAAATGTTTTGTAAAAGAAAATTATTTTATTTTAACACATTAACTTTTATATAATAAATGTTAGAATGTTTTAAAATAACGAGAAAATGATCACTTCTTACAATTGAATAATCACTTTATTACAATATCATATTATGTACATGGTAGTAATAATATATGTAATAACACATGTAGTAACATTGTAAACCGTTATGTGAGGATGACGTCAAATTATACCTTAAATATGTATTATATACATGAATTACAAAAATATTAAACGTTAACGCCCATCTTAGGCAACAGCCGTCTCTGATTACTTAGAGAAAAACTTTTATATAAAATGATCGTAATCATACATATATTGGAATGAATTAATAAAAAATATGTAAAAAGAGAGAGGATTTGTGTCTGAAAGTTTTTTCTAGTGACAATTGACTGAAGTAATTACATATATCTGTATATAAAAACAATATAATACATGTATATATTTCACATAAGAAATATATAAACAAAATAAATTATATTGAATTTACATATATATACTTGCATAAAACTTTCGTTTGAACAAAAACCGCAATATATATAGAAAATACAGTTGTTGCTTTTAAAGTATTACTTATCGTGATAAATATTATATATATAATATATATATTATGATTTTTATATATTATATATAGAGTCTGTTGTTTTATTTCTTATACTAATATTAAATATTGTACACATATATATCTACATATTTGTTATATACAAATCCTATTCCTTTAAATAAGTTTACATTCACTATTATTTTCGATTAAGTGTGTCTCACAAGAAATTATTCACTCTCTTCTCCAGCAAAATACCTATTTCATATTCTATTTTCTTTTTCTACTTTCTTTCTTTATTTTCTTTCGGCTTTTATCTCTATTTCTCTCTCTCTTTCTCTCTCTCTCTCTCTTTCTCTCTCTTTCGTTCTTTCTATATATTACATTTCTCTCTTTGAATCTACAAGCTATAAAATTCATAGACTACTTAACTATTTGAGCTGTTTATTATGCAAGTGATGTAATTCCAAAAAATATCGATAATATTCCCAACACTCTTATGTCGAGACAAACTTATTTTTAATTAGCCAGACTGTTGATGTTTTTCGTAAGTACACCACTCTCTTAAAATAAACAGCTCACTCATACAAAAATTTATAACTTGCTGCTTGCGTGTTGGAAGACCTTTGATAGAAACTATAGATTAAGGATTATATTGCATCCGATTACTCTCAATCTAAACAAGTTGGCAAAAAATAATCGCTTAAAATGTATAATAATAATTGATCCACAAAACTTGTCATAACAAGATAAATGTAGCATTAATTGAATACTACATTTATCTTGTTATGACAAGTTTGTGAATCAATTATGAATTAAAACTTGCGTGTAAGTAATCATGAGATAAGTATATATAGTTGCTTTCAAAAATGTAAATTAAAACCACACGTTAATTTAAAAAATTCGAAAACTCCCGGCGCTCTCTCTTTCTAAAATATTCAATGGAAAATTAGTTTTTGGATTGGTGTAGTTTACATCTTGTATGTATGAAACTATGCTACACACATTCTACTACAATCTTAGATATCATATCGTTTTTTGTATTCGTCATGGAAATATTAAAAGATATAAAACTTAAAAAAAAGATAAAATTAATGAGAGCAGTCGAAAAAAATATATAATTAGCAATAGCACAAATGTGTTGCTAAGTTTTAATCGTCAATAATGGTAATTCATCACTAGTCTTCAATTATACAAAATACTATGTTCTGTAAATATTTATAGCACGTATATTAACACGTGCATTTAAAAGCTTCAGCATGACAACGACGAAACTTTGAGCGATCTCCCGACTGCTCTCTTTATCTTTTTCTACAAGTTATCTTTAATTAATTATTACATATTTACTTTTTTATAGGCGGTGAGACAACAATCGGGAGTTTAAATTTTTTAAATTAATTTTGTTATTAAGTAAGTTGTTTTTTTATACGCGAGAGTAACTCGAAAGGCACTGTAACAGTTCTACCAAAAAACAAAAAAAAACACATGTCAACTTGCGGAGTGCGAGTTAGCTTCGTTGTCTAAGTACGAAATGCTTTCAATACTGTAACAACAATAGTTGTTACGTAAAAAAATCTAAACTACCCTTAACTGGCATTCGATGTATCCATGTCTATGATTTCGTCTCTGAGCAACGCTCGTTTATCTTCTTTAGAATTGTTTTGCTTTTTACCTCCAATTCTGCGCTTGCCTCTGTTAAGTACACCGTTTTCGTCATCCATCATGCGCAAAATTTGCGTTTGATCGGAACTATCTATGGGCGCGATCGATATATCGCGAACGGCACGGAATTTACCGCAGTTGTTCAAATGTTCGTTCTCCAGTCGGAAAAAGTTCCATACAAATCGTCTGGTTTGCACACGGAGAAACAAAGAGAGAATAAAAAGAAAAAAAAATAACACAATATTTACTTCCAGATAAGTTCAACAAAAATTGTAATTACCTGAAGACCTCGAGTGGCGCTAATATGCTAGTCATCATATTACCATCGAGATATCCCCATTCGACGATAATAAAATTAGCGATCCATATAAAGCGCAGTATAAAGTCTTCTATTATTGCAAAGTAATAAAAATGCTAAAATCGAATAATATGCAATGCGTTAAATATGAAATCTGATTGATTCATTTGTTACGTGCCGTATTTTACTTACAGCTGCAGAGTACACCGTTTCTTCGCGTAAAAAACGATTTTCGCCGGCATTACTATCTAAAAGACCCCAATCCATCTTGAGGTCCCATGTGTATGAATATATCGAATTAATAAGGCAACTGCACAGCCAGAACCACAGCCACGGATTCTCCCATCGGTTTGAAAATTCCGCTAGAGAGAAATATTATTTTATTGAGAATTCAAGTCTCCAAAATAAAACTGCAGAAATTGCGTCCCGCAATTTTTTTATCTCTATTCCGTAATTTAAGATACTTTACTTTTATGATAATTGTACAAAACGTTAGCTGTTACGACAAGGAATGTTGTGGAATATTTTCCGGCGTTAGCCAAGTGCGGAAACGCCTCTTTAGTGTCTCGGTATCGGCGAACGCATTGCGCAAAGCGAAACCACGCCGGCAGACAGTTCACAATAGGTCTGATAATAAAAGAATCCGACGTGCACTGAGTAGACTCGTTGGCTCTCAACCAATCGCCATTTGTTAAATAAAAGCACACCGTAAAGTGTAAGTCCAGGAATACGGTCGCCATACTGTTGAATTGATCCGCCAGCCAGAAATCGGCAAAATTGACATACGCAAACGGCGATATCAACACACGTCCCTGAAATAACGTACAATGAATTGCGTTCAATTTTTCATTCGCGTAATAAATAAAATAAAGTTTTAGCACCGTATATTTACTATAATCTTCAACAGCCAGAAACGAGCCTCGTGACGAAACATCTTGACTGGATTTAATAGGAACGCTAACATAATGCAGACCAATGTTAACGGATTCACATATGGTGGAATGCTTAGACTAACACTGTATATGAAACTCAACAAACTAAGCGCCCAAATAACACCGAGGATAGAGGACAGTTCCATGAGATGCTGCTCCGAAAGATGATTCCTTGGATCCAATTCGAATATCAAAACGTGATTGACACCGGAGGATCTCCATCCATAGACATTCACTCCAATAGACAATAAAAACAAGACAATAAGCAAGGGACCACGATACAATCTGAATGCTAGCTGCAGATTCTGTCCGCTATCGTGAAAAAGAGCTAAAAATAACAATATCTTTTATAAAATAATTGCAAGTATGTACATGTGTATGTTGAGCAATTACTAACACACAACATTCAACACAATATACCTGAAAGTACAACTGCTACGACTAGAATAAGGAAACTGCCCGAAAATAAACCGAGTTTGAAAGTGGTCCATGGACTCTGGTGTTCGCCCAGTGGCGGTACACGAAGACGTTTCATGGCGCGTTGCCGGTCGCCACCCTCGAGATCGTTGGTCACAGTGGCTTCTGTTTCCTGTATCAACTTGTCTATGTCCCTGTTCACATAGAAATGAGACGTTTCTACGCACTCCACTCTCCATTTTGAGCCAGCGTCAACCGATAACAGCTAAAAAAATGTCAATTGCACAAATATTTATCGCATCACAGAAATCACGGTGTTTGTTACATATCGGTAAAGCCACACATTACAAAGACAATTACTAGCTTTTTTATGCGAGTATACAGGAAATACAGGACTTTGTACAGAGGTTGTTTCTTGCACCATTAGTTTGCAGCTACAAAGATAATGCAACAATAACATAATATTAAGACACATTTTGATTCTTAAAATTACACAAGCTGAAACTAATAAGCATGAAATCACAAAAAGCACAATACCATTGTTTTACTCTAGAAAAATACCTTGTCGTGTTTTTTTAGAATCTTGCGAAATCCAGTATAATTAAGATTCTGATAGTTCTGAAGAAGAATTAGGGAAAGATAAAATTCTGAGAACGCCAGTTTCAGATCCCTGAGCTTTCTTGTAGGCAAACTTGGTTTTGCACTGGTCTTTCCTTTATTCTTCCCACTTCCCTGTTGTAGTTCCAGAGCACTTTTTAATTCAGTTTGCAGAGCCGCATATTTCCGTGTGGCTTCTGCCAATTTTTCTGTACAATAAATAGACAATATGATTATCATAATTAATATTTGTAATATTTGTATGATTAAAAATGATCATAAGGCGTATTCAATAGCAAGAAAACTCTTACCTGAATAAAATGTGTTAATCTTTTTTAATTCACGATCACAGAATGTAAAAAATACCTCATCAAATGATTTAAAGTGGCGTGATATTACTTCGGGCTCTACACTTTCACTCGAGGGTGCTTCCTCGACCGCAGTGTAGAGCATTGCTTTCATTTCCTAGAAAAAATTATCAAGAGGACATTGAAAACCAAATCTATATATAACAATAATTAAACTGTTGATAAGTTAGTTTGATTTTATGCATTTTCTTACAATATTTACAATACAGAATATAATATTCTCTGAGAGAATGGATATTTAAATTTTACTGTACCTCATAGCTAATGTACTGCTTACGCCATTCAGGTGTAATATGTGCAGACAAGTGTTCTGCAAATTTCATATTTACAGATTTCCTGATGTGCAATCACACACTGATTAATCTAAGCAAAAATATATAAACATACAATTTAAGAAAATTGATGAGCAGGTAAATAAAAAAAAAATCTTCCGATACAAGAATTATGATAGAATTACGATAGAATTACGATAGAAGAATTAATTCCTGCACTCTCTCTTATACGTACACATAGAAAACATTCACTGTCTAATCTCAATCTAACTCAGTCAAGTTGAACATTGTTGAGCATAGAACCAAGATCGAACTCAAATTTAAACTCCTAAATAAGGTTATGACGACGACGTATAAATACGATCTCGTGATACACTTCGCGAGCGAACTTTGTCGGCCGCGGCTTGATCAAACGCTCTTATCCGCTGTTTCTTTATCTGCCGTTCCCTGACGGCGCGTGTGCCGATAAATATTTAATCGCAAGATAAAATTATTTTGTTTTCGCTTCGCAAGAAAAGGAGTTTGCAATTTATAGCGGGAGAAAGAAAGGATGTGCAAGAGATTCTACAAGTAAACGACGTTATCATGAGTTATGTTATGTTAATTGAACAACTTATTGAGCTAATCGGAGTTAACTCAAGTTCTCAGAATTGAATGAACACTTTTCGCATATCCCACGAGCGAAAGAATGTTTTCAACACGTGCGCGTCTGTCGCGCGACGTCAAGTTCTGCAAATAAAATTAATAAAATATAAACTCAAGATTAAATCTTTGTCGAAACTGGAAAGAAATCGAGAAACGCATCTTATATCTAAAAAAATTTTTTAAATGCTAAGTGAATACTTACTGATCTTATTGTTGAATTTGTGTATACACGGTCGATTGTTTCTTGAAAAACAAAATACGTTCTGTTTCATACATGTAAATATATATATTTACACTTTTATTTATCATTAGATCTACTTTATATCTATCTCATTGTCAAACTTATCATATATTAGATCAACTCATATCTGTTCAGATCTGCTTCGATCTAAGTACATAGATAATAGATCTGAATAGATAATATAGTACATCTGACATTGAGTAGATAACCGGCCTCGGGGTAATCTCGTGGCCTAAGTGCGAGGGCTGGGATATGTTAAGCAAAAGGGAACGAACAAACGCAAGAAATGCAGGAATAGCAGGAATTGAAAGAAGTCGAGAAAGTGGAAAATGAGAAGGGGGAAGAAAACCTCGGGTTTTAGGCGGAATATCGAAAAAGTAAACCTGGTTACTGCTAGAGCTCGTCAAGACGCGTCGAACCATGGGGTCGTTTTCTCGATTTTGACAATTTTTCACTTACGCTGTACTGGGCGAAAAAAACTTTCAAACGCGTAAATCGATGGGTTTTAGACGGAATATCAAAAAATAAAACTTTTTTTGATAAAAAAAAAGCTTTTTACTGGAAACTGATCTTTTGTAACATATATTATTGATGATAATAATTAGTTGGTAATGATGTGTTGTTGTTGTAAACAGTAATACTTGATGTTGTACAGAAAAACTTGAGTAATAAGAATTCCGAATTTTTCTTGAGGATTCTTCTAGCATCATTCTTCTGGAATGTCTGATATTTTGTGTTAGGTACAAAAAGATTCTTTTGGGTCTCTACGGGTCCCCCAAGATGCGACAAATATCGGACAGCCGATATATCGATGTATATACATACACTTGTAAAGACCTTTAAGTCTGTATACCGACGCACGTGCACGTAACACGGAATAGAACCATCTCCATGTTTGGACATTGCATACGTATCGACAAGTCGCTCATGGACATCGCTACGTAGTTTTTTCAATGCGCACCACCCGTGGACATGCGCTAGTTTACGAGGCAGAAAAAAAGTGATTACGCACCAAAAACCAAATACCCACTAGCATGGACATAATCAAAGAGATCATATAAGTAATGACCTCTTACGTATTTTTTTCTTTGATAAGTGAGAAAGAGCAAATAACTGATAATTTCTTTTAATTTTGTGTTCGGAGTGAAAACATTTTATATTTGTATTTTGAACGAGCAGTTTATAGGTTGATATCTGAAACATCTAATTTATAAGAAAAGGTAAGATAGTTTAATAAATGGAATTAGAATAGTTTTACATAAAACTATCTTAGTAACTTAAGAGAGAGAAAAAAAGAAATTAATAATGTATATTTATAAAATTATAAAATATAGGTACATTACAAGTAAATGTATTTGTATTATTTTTAACAACATTGTTAAATAAACTTTGGAGTTTAATCTGAAAAAAAAAAATATGGGATTATTGTTATCAGTACGATATAATACTTTAATAAGCGATACGAATTATAATTCATTGTTCATTGGTCACATGTATATGAGTACATGATGTCAAAAAGATTTGAATAAGCTTTGTTTACAAGTTATCTCTCATCAGAGTTTAGTCTTGTTTTTACAAGTATAAAGTTTCTCTCAAGAAAATCGATCCAAACGTGTGAAATATGTTTCTGTTTTAATAGTGTAAAAGTGACTGTAATCTACTAAAAAAGTAAATTTGACTTTCATATATGATAATATTTACATGCACACAATAATTTAAGTTTACATAAATAATTTAAGTAAGTATTAATTTAATTTAATAATTTGAAGTGAAAGTATTATATGACACAAATTGGCTGTGCAAAAGTGTTGCTAAGTATAATATATAAAATTTATAAATAATAATATACATATATATATGTATAAAATGTTATTTTTAATTCATTATATAATTTGATAAACAAGATGTATTCAATACAGAATTTATAGATTTTCTGTTTTTTTAGTTTAAAAACAAGAAAGAAAAAAATAAGATATAAACATACTTCAATATGAGATTCCTATTGTTACTATCCATTGTGCTTGGCATTGTAACTATTAGCACAGCATGGCGTTTTCTCTTGAGAGGTCGAAGTAAATATGCTTATTCAAGAGAATTAAATTTGTCTTCTGAAAAAGATCTGCCTAAAGAACAATGGTTCATGCAGTATTTAGATCACTTCAATCCAGCTGATCATCGTACGTGGAAGCAGGTAATATAAAAATATGTAACTAAACATCTTGATATATAATTTCACAGGTAGATTTGCATTTGAGTTGTTGCTTATTTTCTTTCGCAGAAATATTTTGTAAATATCGAGTTTTATAAAGTTGGTGGTCCAGTATTTTTGCTTATTGGAGGTGAAGGTGCAGCAGACGCTGAAATGATGGTGAATGCTCAGTGGGTGGAATATGCTAAAGAATTTCAAGCAATGTGTTTTTACGTGGAGCATCGCTTTTATGGAAAAAGCCATCCTACTGCGTATGTAAAATACAAACAATTTATATATAAGTACAGAAGAAGATACGGATAAGAGAAAGATACGGTTCTGAAAAAATATGTTATCTTTGAACTTGCAGAGATCTTAGCGTGAAGAACTTGATGTATTTACATTCTGACCTAGCATTGGCGGATTTGGCTTATTTCATTCAAAGTAATAATATTGATTACAAATTACCAAACGAAACAAAATGGATTGTATTCGGAGGATCATACGCCGGATCTCTATCCGCTTGGATGCGTGTCAAATATCCTCACTTGGTTCACGGTGCTGTGTCCACCAGTGGACCGTTGCTTGCAAAAATCGACTTTCAAGGTAGCTCTATTTTAGCTCGAATAATTTTAGCGCAATGTAATATATAGATTTAAACGACTATCTCTGTCTCACAGAATACTTCAGTGTTGTCGCTGATGTTCTGAAAAAATCATCCCAAAAGTGTTTAGATACATTAGCCGAAGCGAACAAACAAGTTCATATATTATTACATCATGTTGCCGGTCAACAAAGAATACAGAAACTGTTCAAGTAAGTTTTCTAAAATATGCATTGATTGTGAGATATATATGCTGTTTTCTTATAAACTTACAATCTGCAGATTGTGCGATCCGATTGATCCTGGACATACAAAGAAAACTGACATTCTCAATTTGTACGAGACACTGGCAGGTAATGTAGCCGGCATTGTGCAGTACAACAAAGACAATCGTCCACGTTCTCCTACTCGAAACATAACAGTGGACGACGTATGCAATATATTAGTAGATGAAACAATAAGACTACCAGTTGAAAGACTTGCCCTTGTAAACAACATGATATTAAACGCCACCAAGGAGAAGTGCTTGGATTATAGATACGGCAAAATGATTCGTGAACTTCGAAATATCACTTGGACCAGCGAACAAGCAGAAGGAGGTAATTATGTATACAAGTCTATAAATTTTAAATTGCTTTAATGTAGGGTGTGATAATAGCAAAATTGTTAATGATATTTGCAGGACGTCAATGGGTGTATCAAACTTGCACCGAATTCGGATTCTTTCAAACGTCAACTGCCCAACCTACTTTATTCCCCAATAATTCGTTCCCAGTGGACTTTTTCGTGCAACAATGCGTTGATATCTTTGGGCCTAGGTTTGTTTTCTTCGAACTTACATATTTCCAGATAATAATTCAGAACTGAAGAAAACACTAAGAAGTAATATCTGTTTTAGATACAACCTGGACTTATTGAAATTAGCTGTCTCTCAAACAAATATCTTATATGGTGCGTTAAACATACAAGCGACAAATGTTGTATTTGTGCACGGTTCTGATGATCCTTGGCATGTGCTGGGTGTCACACATTCTTCCAATCCGCAAGCACCTGCCATTCTTATCAACGGTAAGTGAAAGCAGCACAAAATTTTGTTTATTAAAAATGATCGAAAAAATACATACATGATTTATCAATTTGTTTGAAGGCACCGCTCATTGTGCGGACATGTATGCTCCGACTGAACAAGATATGCCTCAATTGAAAGATGCTAAAATGCAGATAAGAGACCTAATCGAGCAATGGCTAAAAAATTAAAGCTCTCTTTAATGTGCGTAATTTACATGAATGTGATATAATGTATACTATGTGTTGATAAACTATATATTTTCAAGATCTAGCAGAGCAAGCAGCAACTCTTGTAAGATTTTCCGCTAAATATCTAGCGATTTACAATCTCTCAATTATTTTTACTAAATAGTCACGCGTCATGTATTTTCTATCAAAGTACAATTACGCTTAATAAGCGCAGTGTATTACGCTGAAAACGAAGTAATTTGAAAAGAGTTAACCATTCGAGCTGTTGGAAACGCGAGCTGCTTACTAAGCGCTGACCTCTGCTGGAATCTTCTACGCTATGATTTACAAACAGGTAAACCAGGATTTTATGATGTGTGGCAGTATAATTTTATATTCTTTCTTCGTTTGAAATATTCACGCAAAACAAAACAACACATAGATTTGTGTAAGAGTTTATATAAATATGTACGTTTATTTTTATAGTCAATATAACGTGACAAGTTAAACCTAAACGATATTTGTTTATTTATAAATCTATTGTATCCATCATTACGTACCATGTTTGAATGACAAAATTGCTTGCTAGAATGAAACAAGTTTGCCCCAAATGGCACTATCGTAATTTATTACAATAAATAAAACTTACGTGAAAAAACATACATGTGTGTGTGTGTATATGTGTGTGTATGTGTGTGTTTACTGAATTGTTTAAAGACATTGCCATTTATTTTCCCGTAAAGTCTACAAACTTTTCGAACAATTCAGTATAAAATCGCTCCGCATGTGTGTGTGATTACTTCGATCAATAAATAAAAACCGTGTAATTTGTTGCAAAAAGCTTATTGTATAATTTTTCAACGATCATAAACGGTTAATATTGTAAGTAACGCGACTTAAGTAATGCAGTATGTCTATAACAAATATAATATATATGAACTTGACAGTATCATTGAAATAATGTAGCTATTAACATACGCAGATATTCACACGAGAAACGGCATTCGCGACACTCATATACAAGATTAATTAGCGATCATATACATGATGAGCTTTGTGATTTATACAGATCACAAAGCGAACAATACAATAATAATTCCTTTCTATTTTCGCGAATGGATAACGTCGGCCTTTCCTTAACGATACCTAAGCAGTATCCCCCGATGTTTTCTGGAAACATAGTAATCTGTTTTTAAAGCGAGGCCAAAGTACCCATACGTATCGATGAATTGTCAATTTTGCCGACTCTGTCCTTCCAAATGTGATGTGTAACAAAATTACGTAAAACACCTTCGATCTAGCAATAACTTACCGTTACAAGCACGCACGTCTGTTCGATCGTTATTTATATGTTATTTTTTTTTTTTGCTTTTTGGCATGTTCTCTGACCAGCTTCTCCTACAGTTTTTTTTTTTTTTTTTTTTTTTTTTTTTACAGTGATGAGCGATATCGTATATTTATTATTCTTAAACTACGATGTATATAATATTTACATTTGACGTGACGGAGAGACTCTGATGATAAATAACTTACTTAGACGCAACAGAACAAAAGTATATGTAGAATCTATTTTGGCTATTTTCTCTCGGTTTTTTTTTCTTTGTGCAAGAGACGTTCATCCCCGGGTTACAGCTTCATGATGAAAGATTCGCTTAGCTCCCTCGTCAGGGAAGAGTTTTCTATCCGCGACAGTGGTAAGCATTTTACGTACATAATTTTCCTAATCCCTCGATCATCGCAATCGCCGATAATACGGGATTACAGTTACAGAAGTCGTTTCGCAGTTTTGTCCTTCCTTGTTTTTTTATTTTTTTTTTTAGTATCTGTGGTGGGGCTGCGACTGTCTCCAATCGGGGGTCCCGCTACCATGATGATGGTGGTGATGATGATGATGACGCTTCTTGTCCGAGACGCTGGCGTGCTTACTGGACGGATAAGCGGCGACGTCGCTGACAACCAACTCCGAACCGTCGCGTTCGGTGTTGTTGTTGCTTCGGAAGTTTTCCCGGTATCCTGGTTCATCCAGGGTCTCCTTGCGACGGAGCGGCGGATGGCTGGTCTTGTGCCCAGCGGACACGTGCAGATTCTCCCAAGCCTGACGATAGTAACGATTCAGACCGCCCCGGCTCTCCGAGGAACTGCTGTCGAAACTGGCGACGGTGTTGCAATCCGGCGACGCACGATGACGATAGTGCTTGCTGCTTCTTCCGCGATTTCTGCGGTCAAGAACGAGACACGGACGTTAATAATTGGCCCCAACACGTTCAGTTGTTTGTGTAATGTAATTACGAGTAATTTCATTAAGAACAGCATCAAACGTATATATATAAATAAATTGCAGCGAGAAGACAGACAAGCGTTAGCGTGCAGGAAGAGAGTAGCTGGACCGAGCGGAAAAATTTCGTGCGAATCATTTACTCATTCGTATATGTACAATATATATATGTGTATTATATATATGTATATTATATATATATTAATACTTCTATGTTATATATATTAATGTGCGTTTTTGTAGGCTCAAAAAGTAGAAATGTATATATAAGATAAACAGAAATCGCAAGAAACAACCTTTGTTATATGCTATGACAAGCGTTTTTCAAGGCACTATAATCAAGATAAGAGTGAAGAGATGGAAAGAAGAACGAGTGTGTGTATTAAAGTCTAATAACGAAAATATAACACGCGAGGACAAAATACTTAGAGCGGTCCACTCTCAAATATGCGGCGAGAAACACGTTTGCCTAAGAAGTATAAGAGATCCCTCTACACACTTACATTACAAAGCCGTTTTCTTATCTCGTGTATTTATCGCAATGCGTGTGAACAAAAGAAACGAGCTACTCCCGTTTGAGAAGAAAGTGCTCAAAAATAGAAACCTTGAAATCCTTGCTCTCGTTTACCTTGACTAGTATCGGTCGCGAGGGTGGCGCGTGGTGGTTGGTGGTGGTACGTGATGATGGTTGATGTGGTGGGCGGTGGTTGCGTGGAGGGTGGTTGGGGTGGTAGTGGTGGTTGCGGGCTTGTTTTTACTTATGGGAACGCTTTGCACTTTCTTTCTTTCTTTTCTCCTCGCTCTTTCTCAGTGGCGGGGGGAAAGGGGGAGTGAGAGGGAGGAGCGACGACGGCGGTATCTACAGAGATGGGTTTGAGAAGTAGCCGGCGCGATGCGCCGCCGATAGACTAAAGGAGTAAGGATGATCGCTGCCGCGGCGTACCGTGAGGTCGCGGCGCCCCAGGTGCTGGTCGGGGAAGGGCAGCGCGAGTAGCGTATACCAACGCGAGGGCATTCCGGCGTCGCCCCTCCCAAGGCCACCACTACCGCCACCCCTTAGCGCACCAACCCCACCGAGCCCCCTGCGGCGCCTTCCTCGGACGCTGCCGCTGCCGCTAACCACCAATGGACTCAGTGTTAATTAATAGTCGTCGTGGTGGGCCAGATAGTCTATCTTTTTTTTTTTTGTTACAGATTAGATTATCCTCGCACTAATGTTTCTCAACTTTACGGTCACGATTATTTCGTCGGTTATTTTTATTCGCATCTTTTTGTTGGCTACTCTCATAGAGAGGAGAAATTGCATTGTTAAATTAAATGATTCTTTTTTTCCCGAATGGCTGTGTGACTCGCATTGAGAACCATTGGCACGAACGAATTGAAGAGAATTATTCTCATTACGGAGTAATCAGGAAGTAAATAAGTCGTTGGCAAAAGCGTACGTTTGAGACAAGTTCGGCCGAAATTACAGGCTAAATTTACAGTAAGCTCAATGATCAATGAATGAAAGAGAACGTAAAATATAGTATTATTCCTTTTTCCCGCGGTCCTATTCAGAATAGAGCACCGCGGGATGTTAGGGGACTCGTTTGTTACATCAAGACTCACGTAATCCGAAAGGAACATGTACACGCGATTCAACAAGCAAAAAATCTCAATTTTTTTTTAAGAGAAAATCACAGATCACAATGCAACATGTAACAACAACGTTCATCACAAGTTAGAGGGAAGACAGATGTACAGAGGACAGAAAGTAAGATGAGACAAAATCCAACAACAAGTAAGCGGTACAATGTACAGTCCGGTCGAACGTCGTCGTCCGGTCGTTTATGTATGTATAAATCAGAGTGCGGGCTATGATCAGACGTTAATCATGAAAAAGATACACGCGAGACGAATTGTCGCTCGACGGGTATATAGCTTGACGCGCTTGAGTGGTGTTTTTCACCTGCGTATGAGTATGACGACCGTCGTGATCACAGCGGCGAGGAAGACGAAGCCGCCGAACACTCCGAGAGCAATCACCGCGCCTAGATTGAGCTTGGCCTGATGAGCGCTGCTGGGCAGTTCAGCGCTGTCCACCCGGAACGGACCCGACGGCTCCAACACGGCCGCGCCGATTCCCGCTTGCGCGCGATCCACGCCGCTTCCGGAGATCTCGTTGTCCTGCGGATGATCGCTGCCGGCGTCGTTGTGCACCGACGACGACGCGGGCTTGTTAAGCCCGACGCTCGGCCTCCTCGACACGGTCTCCTTCACCGTGGCTGGTAGTTCCGCCGCGTTGCCGTTCCTAGGCGGATACATCGTGCTGCTGGTGACGACGGTGGACCTGCTCGTTGTGGTTCTGATCCTCGGGGTAAGTTGCGGTCGAATTTTCGGCGTCGTCGAGCGTATTGTTGCCCGCGTAGGAGCAATCACGGTTGTTCGTGATTCTTCTAAGAAAGGATAACGTTTCAAATTCAGCAATAAGTTCATTACATTTGTAGTTACGAATGTATATAAACTTTCTCTTTTTCTTTGTGTTTTATTTTATACAAATTTATGTAAATTTTATTCTATCACATACGTATATAAAATATGAAGATGTGATACCTATGCAGGTTGGCGCGACATGGTCGTACAATCCGGTGGCCAAACAGAGTATTTGACGGAAGCCGACGAGTCGGTAGCCCTTCTCGCACGTGTAGGTGACAATGCTGCCGACCAGGAGACTTTGATTGAAGTTGTTCTTCACCGGAGCACTCTCGTCTTCGTCGATCTCTTCTATTTGGATGTAACTGTGCGGGACCGCGGTCGGTGGGTCGCAGAGTATCGGCTCGCATCGCGGCGGCGGACCGTTCCAACGCTCGTCGATGTCGCAGGTCAACCGGGCGCGTCCTGTGCACACGCGTTCGTAAACATTAGCTTGGGGAGCTCGGGGAAGATATTGGCCGAGATTTTTCGAACGCGTTAACTCGACGGTCCTATTTACCTGTCATTTCGTATCCTTCCTCGCAAGAGTAAAGCACCTGGCTGAGGTAATTGACGGTGTTATTGATGAGCGTGTAGCCGCCGTGTTTTATGCTCGCGGGATAGCCGCACTCGATGCCTGAAACAAACACAGACGCGTTGGCAGCGAGTCATCATCATTGTCATCACGCTCGCGATGATTTTGCCCGACCGTGTTTCCCCTTCTTACTTTTGCACACCGGCGGGAACTCTTTGTAGAAACCGGTGTCGAGACAAGTACGTGTCGCCGGTCCGATAAGAAGACTGCCCGCGTTGCAAGTGTATTCCACCGTCGCACCGACTTCGTACGCGCCTCCGGAAATTCCGGGAGCGATTACCGTCATCGTTGAGTTCGGCGGCTGCTCGGGTCTGCCGCAAGCTCGCGGTTCTGGAGAAGTAAAAAATTACATTACGTTATATTGCACCTGTTGAGTACTGCAGAGACACGCGAATAAGATAAAAAAAATTGATTTAATTTGATTCTCATGAATATAATTACAGTCTCTGAATGAATATGATTATCGCTGATGTGAAAATGTGTGCTTACGATGCTGACAAATGAAGTAAAGTCGAGCCGTGCAAGATATGTCGGACCAAAGCCAGCCCTTGGCACCGTCGTATCTGGCGCAGTCCTCCTGGGTGTTTTGTGTTATGCTCCAGAATGTGATGGCCACCACTTTGTCACTTCCGATCCATCTCCACAACGTCGGATCGTTCTGATCCCTGACCGCGCCCATCCAGTACTGGGTGGATGTGTCGCTTCTTCACGAACGAACAATTAAGTTTTCGTTGATTTATTTTTAGAGATAATCAATCGTATATTTTATTATGTTTGTTTTAAATTAGTTCAATCGTTTGTAAAAATCCAGGTGTGGTCTTTGAGATTTAAATTTTGCGCGCGTTACCTGTGTCGTCTCCACAACTCCCACGAGATGAATCCTTGCAGAGCGGGATTACTCTCGTTCACAAGGGTGCCGCCGCGCGATCGGCAGAAGGCCAGCGCATCCCTGAATCCCAACGGCTGGCGATTGTAAAATATGTAGCACTTGCCGTTGTAGGTCGCGGTTGACCCTGGCGGTTGATCCCGGAATTGGGGACACCTCTCGATCGGCAGCGCCTGCGATCAGTTTTTTGCTTCGATTACTCGTCATCGCATAGAAGAAAAACCAGGATAGGAAAAAAAACGGGGACAGTTTTGTTTGCGTTTCCAAGACAAGTCCCGATTGTTTTTACAGTCATTTTTTACCTGATCGGTGTAGACGAACGCCTCGCACAAGGACAGCTGCACGGGAATGTTGGCTTCCGTAGCTTCCAAGTGCACCGAGACGAAGGCTCCGGGCATTGGCGGGTTACAGGGCAGGAAAAGCGGCTGGCCCTCCTCCAGAGTCCCGGTGAACCGATTGCAAATGGGATTTGTTCCCAGATCCGGTCGATTATTGCCGACACGGACGATGATGGTGCCGGGTCTGTCGTTGCCTGCGCGTACCGATCAAACGAATTGCTCGGTAACTCAAACTTTATTGACAATTTGTTGCATTTCTGCCTCATTTCGGAAAGTATCGATATAATGTTTTTTTTTTTTTTCGCAAATATTCCGCTCGTGAAACGCATCACGGAGCGATTTTACGAGCGAGTGTAATAACGTAGTTTCGCTTGATAAAGAAGAAAATTATAGGTCGAACGATGTCTGGTAATTATTACGACTCTAAGAAACTCTCTGTTTTCGCTCGTGTGTGTAATTAACGGTACATATTTACGATGCGAGACGTTAGCTTAATCTGTGTCAAAATAATAACCGCGCCGCGCGGCTGAGAGACAGACTATATCGTATACATAAATTAAAGACCTCTTGATGGGGCGACTTTCAAGAGACACGTATGCGTAGCGCGCGAAAGCAACTCTCGTCTCTCACGCATAATTTCCCTAGTTTTATCAGGTTTACTCGGTTTTACGATTTGATATTATATTAGTCGTCGACTCTCTCGAATAGCATCAGTACTTTCATTATCTCTCCACAAGTTTAATACACGTGAAAATTAACACGGTTAGTCGCTTTAATTATATATCCACTTTTACTTTTCAATCCTTGCGTTCCTATTATTATTATTGTTTTTTTTTGTTAATGTATTTTTCAAGATTCTCGCGTGAAGAATAACGAGTCAAACTCTGTAACAAACACGGATGTGATACATGTGTATTTTAACGTTATACAAATATAATTCCAGTGAGCCGGTAATTTTGAGCAAAGAAACTGACCTTTAAACTACGGCTCTCATTTTATATTCACGGTTTAGAGAGCGTCGCCGATCGCGAACGCGGTATCTGGACAAATAAAATTTATTTCGAGGGCAAGCGCTACATCTTCTGACCCAGAAATCATCCCGACTGTAACCGGCCACGGACAACCGCCCGTCTGTTCGTAGTCCAAGCAATTACATGCTTTCCAAGTTTTGTTCTCCGCGATGACAATCTCGCGGTTCCGAACTCCACGGCGACTCTTTTCGATCGGGTAAAATTTCGCCTAAGAGATATCTACGCGGCAACACGTACACGAGACGCTCGTACACGAGACTTTCCTATTGCATGCGCGAGCCGTTATTCTGGGGGTCCCCCCCTCTAATGAATGCGTAGACATGTAGCGCATGAGTGGAGACGAGATAAAGGAGAAACTCCAGCATCGCGCGAAGGGATCCAAAGACAATTAGGTCGAATGCTAAGGACCGCGCAACTAAAAACATTTGTTGTCACATTTGCGATTGTATGTGACACAATTATATTTTACAGCTTTGCGTATTATCACCCACGACACACACACTGTTGTTAATTCGAATATTTTCGAATTGAATTTAATTAGAATGTTCGCGTTTAAAAAATATATTTAGACGTACATCCAGCACATAGGCTCGTATTGACTTCTAATTAATTAATGTAATTAAGTTTACTTAATTTATATTTGTACATTATCACGAGCTTTGATATTTGGCATTTTGCAAATATTTTTAAAATAAAAACTAAAAAATAGTTTAAGATCAATGTAAAAAATTAATACACAACAAATTCGAATTGATTTCAATTTAAAAATTTATCCAAAAAATAATTGATTTTCATCTCGAATATACAAATTACTTCTTTGTGAAATTTAAAAACCCATCGCGAAAAGGAGAAGCCGAACTTTCCGCATTCCGTGCAATTATTTTTTTTATTAAAGTTTTCCTTTCAACAACTGGATTATTACGCGCAATTATTATGTTTCTCCGTTTTCAATTTTGTTGCGAAGAAAAATTACACCACACCAAATACGTTTGCAACAAACACATCGTATATACATGGAAAACGTGTAAAAGCGAGTTTGCCTCATTTTGTTACGAGCGCCATAAAAAATGAAGATATTTTACAACCTGAGGGAAAACGAGAAGCGGAGAGCGCGTTTGTTGCCGAAATCGAAACTATTTCATTATTTTTCATCATTCAAGCGCAACGCGTGAAAGCCGCTCTTTCGCGCGGAGAAAGAGACCGAAGTCATTGTAACGCATCGTCCGTTTAATTATGAGCGACCTGCGCGCGCGCGCGATCAGGTTGAAGAACCGCGAGAATATTATCGTCACGTATCTCTCGTCGGTGCCGGGCCGTAACTAAACAGCTGCTTAAAGAGATGGACGGCAAACGCTATTGTTTCCATTCTCGTTCGCGCGCGCGCGCGAGCACAAAGGCCGAACGTCATAATTATCGCGTTTGAATAATTCATTTCGCCCGACGGCGCGCCAGATTGTTGTCCCCCGTTGACGATATGATTCGTTCCCTTCCCTCCGATGTGAAATTACTCCGCGATTAGACGTGTCGTGAGGACGCAATCAAGAAAGAAGATTAAAGCGGAGTCAATTATACTCGCGTAATTCCGAGGATAAATTTCCTTTATCGCTTTCTGACAAACAACGAGCTGGTTATATTCTGTCCGACGAACGACCCGTGAAACGACGAGGAAACGTTTCGAGGAAGGGAACAGTTCGAGAGATCGTTTTCCTCTGGACAACAACGATCTCTCTGTTCCGTTCGCGCGAACCAAAGCGCATCCAGCCATCGACAACGTTATTATCGTTAGTCATTTAACGGTGAAAGTTTCCCTCGTTCGGCTCTGCGAACAACAAAGCGAACGAACTTTCGAAAAAAAACACCGAGATAACGCGCGCGCGGAGAGTACTCTTATTATTAGCGGAGAGAAGCGCGCGGACAGAAAATCAAAGCGCGGAATCTCCGCGAGATAGACGCGTGCCGCATCTCCGTGAAAGCTTCGTGGCACTAATGTTGCGCTCGGATCGAAGACCGTTATTTTCTTCTCTGAGCTGTAAAATGTAAAATTTTACGTTGCGCGATACGAAGATAAGAAGCGAAGCACGGTATCAAATCGAGTATCGCGTAACGCCTCGTATACGCGCTTTTATTCTCGCCCTGTCGGCGAGAAAGAAACCGAATGGCGCGAATCGCGAGTGGTTTCCGGCGTTTTGTGCGACGACGTCGCGGACCAACTTTCAGCTGCTGATCGATGGGAACGACGGGTTCTCGCGTTTCTCGATCGAACGAACGTTGAAAAATGCATGCGGCGTACCGCCGGTGGTTTTCTAACAATTGAAAGTGGAAAGACTCTCACTTTCGTCGGCGCGAGTGAAGAGTTTCTAAGCGATCTCGCATGCGAGAACTCCCCGGCTCTCGACCGGCTCTCGAAACAGACGAAGGAAATGCGAATTTTATGGTCGAGTTTCATGGTTTTTCGCTCGCTAATGACTGTTTTTCTGCATTTCTGTCGTCAATCTCGAGAGAGATATCTCGAATCGCTTTTAAACGTCGAAAGCATTGACGTTGGCAATTTTCTCATCGGCCGATCTCCTCAGAAGCGAATTGCCTCCTGAAATTATTATCCCTCTCGGCCGTTCTATTGTTTCATCGCCGAAGGCGCCGGCCAACTGCGCAATCACTTCGTCATCCCATCATAGACCGCGGTAGTTATCGGCTCGTTCGGGAAAGCGTCGTTGTCGTGCAAAACCTCTCGCAAATGACAGACGCGGTCGACAAATGTCAGAAACGCTACTCACCGCAGCACGATTTACCGAAGTCCAGCCGCACTAGCTGCACCATGTACGGCTCGAGCAGGTTCACGTACCACCAAGGTTTGCGCTCGGGTTTCGTCAGGGTGCAGGTTTGGGGCGTGTAAATCTGACCGCTGCTACCGTCGACCGCGCGTTGCGGAATTCCACCCTCCACGGTGGTGGACTGCATCGGCGCCTTGCCGCCGGCCACGTTCAGAACTGCGACACAAAAGAACAATTGATTCAATCGATACGTCGCTTATTGTATTTGATCGCTTATATTGTATTTCCGAGCGCGTGATCAGCCATTTAATAAGGTGTATACACGTGTAACGATTGTCATGCGGCACCTGTAATAACTTTTGCAAAAGCATTAAGAGGAGACAAAGAGAATAAAAAATGTGTGTCGCGACTGAAAAATCGCGTGATAAAAATCTTCGTACCGTTAACGAAAGAATTGAAAATCTGTCTCGTGTTTTAAGATCGTCGACACATGTCACGCGACCGACTACAGTAAATTTTTCATGTCTGCAATTTCCTCGGAAAAGAATTTGTTTATTTGTTTTTAAAAGGCCGAACGCATCGACGCTCGTCGATTTTCAAGCCGTATATTTTCAGATGCGATAACACGCGACAAGTATATGTGTTTGGTGACGCGGCGATAAAATTCCTCGTGAGCAAAATCGCCGTAACTCAATTGCCGTATATCCATGCGAGAAAAAGAAGGTCGTGAGCCGACGCGCTTGCACGGGTGAATAGCCGTCTGGCACGCAGATGCGAACGACGACGAGGACGACAACGACGACGATGGTCATCCGCGTGGTGGTCGCCAAGTTTTGTGCAGCAAGTGCCATGCGTTTGCCAAGTTGGCGGCCTTGCGGTAGTTTTACTGTACCGTAACGTGAGAATTTTATATCGGCGCCGGTGCCGATGACGGTGCGCGATGAGTGCGCGCGTATATGTGTTAGCCTTCGATGTTAGCCCTCGATTTATTATAATTGCGTCCGATCGGAAATCGGCGACGAGGTATCGGTAGGATGTCCTTCATATTATCTAGGATAAACTAATCAAACGGGTTCTCACGCGAAAGCGAAAGTATATCGGGACTGAGTCATTTGCGATCATTGAAAAACATCGCCCTTTGACGTTTTTTTACGTCATTATTAATTGATATGTATATTTACGTGCTATCCGTACAAAATTGATTAATGTAACTGTGATATGTATAATATATTTAATATATTTAATATATTAAGTAAGTAATAAAATATTATATACATGTTATAT